GATCTACGAATATAATACACGTAATGAATCACTACTACGCAGTGAGGGTCGCTAATCTAGACATCTAGATCTCAACAACTCCCCTAGCAGAGACGCCTGTTTGGACATACGTAAACTCGGATGTCTACAATAATGTAGGGTATTATCAAGAAGAGTCAGCGGTTGTACCTCCAAAAAATGTAATAGTTATATAATGAAACAACAATTTGGTGATGTTATGCTTGAAACAACAGTACATTTCTAGCAGTTTTACACGGCGATTACAATCGCCAATAGAATCCTGAAATATTCAGGCGCCTAGATGCAATTTGTGGTTTGGATTGATTGGCTAATGGCATTACTCTCACTCACACACACACAAATCCCAAATATTCTTTCTCACAACGAGAACAACATACAAAGAAGCTACATATAGCAAATCTTAGATCAATAACTTTACAAATATGGACACTATTACCACGGATATCACAAAGTTATTCAAGATCAAGGTCAGTAAGCTAGTTAGCTCGATTTGTTGCTTCCTTTGCGTGTTGAACTGTAACTGACTTTATCAACTCTCTCTATCTATATCTCCTCCTACTGATTATGATCACTGCCACCTATTCTCTTCTGCTATTGACTTCTCTACGCGATCCTACATCTCAAATTTCCAAACTCAACAATGCTTACTCACCCACACCCTACATGCTTATTCGCTTGAAACCTTCTAACTCTCTCATCGTGGCAACCAAAAATAATGAAAAAAACTTGCTACTCTTGCTTATGCCTTTCTCTCCCTGCGTGCTCGGATTTCCACGCTTCTTGAAACAAAAAAAAATTGACATGTGATCGTAACTCATTTCATAAAAATTTCAAACTTTTGATTACTTTCATTAGCACCCAGTGTTTCTGGCTGGTATGAACGTTGCTGCGGGGTATGTCAAGTCTTGAATGTGGTTTCCTTTGTCACCAGTTCGATGTGATGGCGTTTCTTGACCCATCCATGAATAGACATTGCTAACCATTATTACTTATACCACGTAGACCTGAGCTCGCAGCTGCTGTTACCAATGCCGGTGGAATGGGTGTCATCGTAAGTTCCTCAGTGGTTAAGTTGAGCAATCATTTCCACCCAATCGCATAACAAAGTCAACGCTCAAAGGGTGGTGTCGGATACACTCCAGAAATGTTGCGAAAGAACATTGCTGAAATCAAGCACTACTTGAAGGATAAGAATGCTCCATTTGGTGTCGACTTGCTACTTCCTCAAGTTGGTACGTGGTGACAGCTCGGCAAGTTGGTCATATTTTGCTACCAAACTGATCTCTCTTGCTATCCGTTACTAGGTGGTAACGCCAGAAAGACCAACCGTGACTACACTGGTACGCAAAATCATGTACATGTATGCTGAGAACTCCAAGGAATAAACTTTGCACAATTTTTAGGTGGAAAGCTCCCTGAATTGATTGGTACACATTGGATTGTTGTTGCATAGTGCCTATACCAATCCTGCAGTTTACATACTGCAATGTTCGTCGAATACTAAAATCTTTTGTTATCGTAGACATCATAATTGAAGAAAAGGCTGCCTTGTTCGTCGCTGCCGTAGGAATTCCACCAAAATGGGCCGTCGACAAATTACACAAAGCCGGCATTCCAGTACGTCCTCACGCCTTTGTGTTTTTTTTGCTAAACTTACTCAACGTACTGAACTGACTCGACCAGGTCATGAACATGATTGGTGCTCCCAAGCACGCCTTGAAGGCCATTGAAGCCGGTGCCGACATTATCTGTGCCCAAGGCGGTGAAGGTGGTGGACACACTGGTGAAATCGCCACTTCTATCTTGATTCCAAAGGTCGTGGATATCTGTTCCAAGCACCGCTCTTCCTTCACTGGGCAACCAATTCACGTCATTGCTGCCGGTGGTATCTATGATGGTGGGTGTTGTTTGTGCACTTTGGCGTCAGAAATTGGTCTACGATAATGTGTTTGCCTTGTCGTACTTACCAAACAAATTCTATAATGTAGGTCGTGGTTTGGCCTTTGCATTGTCCCTCGGAGCCAAGGCTGTTTGGGTCGGAACTCGTTTCGTTTGTGCTACTGAAGCTGGTGCTCCCAAGGTATGTTCTTCACCTTGTCCCAACGTTTGTGCCTACAACACTTGCTCACTTCTCGGTTTCCTTGACACAGGCCCACCAAGAAGCCATTCTTGGAGCTACTCACTCTGACACTATTCGTACCATCATCTTCACTGGTCGTCCCATGCGTGTTTTGAAGAATGCTTACATTCTCAACGTATGACAAACGCTTGATTGTTATGTGTGTATTCAAGACACTTACAGCTAAATCATTTTCATAGTGGGAGAACAACCGTTCGGAAGAAATTAAGAAGCTGACCGCTGCAGGAACGATTCCAGTTTACCATGACTTGGAAACCGCTGGTGATGATATCGATGATGAAACCGCTATGCAAGCTCGTCCATGGTTACTCGGTACGAGGAAAATTGATGGTTTGTTCAAATGGTTTATAACTCATGCATATTTTGAAATTTAGGACAAGTTGCTGGTTCTATTGAGGACATCAAGCCTGCTAAGGAAATCAGTAAGTTTTCGTTCGTCGTGTATGAAAGTGGTTTCACTGAAGCTGACCTGTCAATGTGTTGTTTCTCCTAGTTGATGAAATGGTTACCACTGCTTGCAAGACTCTCCGTCAACTAAACGGTCAAATTGCTCGTTTGTAAACAAGTTGCTATTTTCGTTTCGCCTCAAATCTTATAAAAGAAGAGATGGGAAGTTGGGAATTTAAGTTACAGAGAACTGTGATTCAAACAAAATAAAGATTTTTTTCCTCAAAACCAAACTAAACGGTGAAGAGTTTGTGCTTGGAGGTACATGTTGCAATAGGTGCTATTCAGCGACTTGGTATTATTTACATTTTACAGCTAGATACATTGGTATAGAGAACTCAATAAGGAACTCAGCAGTAGACGATCCTAAATATGGTCAAGCACGTTTTTTGAAAAAGAACATGAAGAAGAAGGTCCACATAAACACCAGAAACACTATGGCAACGACTGCCAATGTGAGACAAAATGTACCACTCGTGCTAGCAGTGAGCCTCCCCAGTCTTGTTCCTTCTGTTTTGACTCGTGTCACTGTTGTCTCGAGTCGTCCTGATGCTTCGTCCAAAACCTACAAAATGGTAAGTTCAAAAGAAGCATGTCAGAGAATTTGTGAGCTTTCCTTGCAAAATGACACCATAAGAGTAAGATACATACTTTTGCATCCTGTTTCAAAATTGTACCCAAAGCCAGACTATTCATTTTTAGCTGGGATGCCATGCGTGCTAATTCTTCAGATAATTGGTCTTGAAGACCTCGATGATGTTGTAAGACAGTTTCAAGTTCTGCGTCTGGTGATGGTGATGATGATGTCGTCGTTGTTGTAGTTGGCGTAGTAGGTGGCCTGCAACAATAAAAGTTGAGTTGAAAGCAACGAATCTAAGATTTTTTAAGTTTGTCAGATACATACCCTCGTTTCCTCAATTCATTTGATGTGCCTAATAGTTCTGTTCCAGCAAAAAAGAAAACAGAAAAGTTTGAGCGATGAGTGCAGTTAGTTTCCTCAACAATCCCCAACCATACCACTACGCAAATGTTGATCAGTACTCCTGCTCGACTTGGAAGCCGTCAACTATTGGAATTATCGTTGTTAAGAAGGTGTCTGCAATACACATACAATATAAGGCAACTTGCCTGCCCGAGTCGAAGAATTGTTCCATCAGATACAGGGCCCGCGTCTGAAGGAGTCTTGAGCGAAGGTTGCCAGCCTTTAGGAGGATCTACACCTCTTCGAAAAGCGATATTGACTTGCTCCCGTAGTGGTAACTTTAAACACGACTTTTCGTCAGCCTTCTTTTCCCATCTCGACGAGGGCTTTTCAGAGTCTGAAACTCACTTGATCTACACAATACGCAGCCTCGAGTTGGTCTAACGTTCGAATGGCGTCACGTAGCAATGGATCCTCGTATCCCTTTGACTTGTTGGCTGCAATCACTTCCACCAATTGTCGTGCATATTGTAGATTCTGGAATTCGAGGAATTAATTTGATTCCTAAAGCGTGTTTCAAATTGAGTCGAGGTACCTTTTGGGTCTTGATGATTGTGATTGCGTCCATTTCACTTGAATTGGTTGAATGTGTAGTTGATGCCAATAAGCGACGGAGATTCACTTCGGCTATTGAGGAGGCGTCCATTGCTGACTTTTAAGAGGGGGATTTGTTAAGTAGATTTGCCTATTAGTTTATCATATGTAAGTGAATTGATAAAGCTTTGGAGGAAAATCGAATTGTTTGAAAGATTCGCACTTTTTGACATGAGTGGGCGTAATGTACAGAGTGAACACTCTTTCAAACTTATTTTTAACGCATGATCTTATAACTTACCAGTTTCCTTTTGTCGTAGTTCATACTCTAGAGTGAGAAATCTCTCTCCATTGATCTTGTGGGATTCAGCAACGGACATGGAAACTTTGGAACACGTCTGCTGGGAGGCAATCCCAAACCATACTTCATACGTCTTCAAATTCAACTCAGACGAGACAGGCTTTACGATCATTGTTACCAACCTAAGAGATACATGGATGCAATCCATACGTGATGAAGATGATATACTACAAGCTATCAATGTAAGACTAGCTATTTCTGATGATCTGAATGGCCACTAATCTTTCAGTTGAACTCGTTTAATAGGAACATCTGTTTGGTTTGGCACGTAACGGACCCAAACGACTCATGTCCTTCCTGAAATCCATGCTGGTGGGCGAGCGGAAACCATCGACCAGATTCGATGTTGTGAACTCAGGATCATCGTTGCTACTTGAAGTTTCGCACGAACATAAAGCTTCTTCAACGCTCTTCAAATGGCCATTCAAACTTGAGCTACTAGATGATGCTCGAGATGTACAGTTTCAACATATCCAGCTACCTCATATGCTCATGCTCGAAGAATACAAGAGACGCAATGATGAGCTGATTGGGATTGCAACCAGGCAACAACAGCTCATTGATCAAATTTCCTTAATGGTTGACGCGAGTAAATCTACTTCACGTGAGAAGGGTCTTGGTTTACATTTAATTTTTGTCGCTGCGTTTTCAAAATTTTCATGTTTTCAATGTGTAGGTGCCGTTCGCCATGAGGTCTTTTCATTGGAAAAGTTTGAAACAAGATGCAACGAAGTATGTGGCTATTTGTTAGAGTCAAATGCCTGAACAGTTTAAAACTGAATTGACTTTTTGGTTATAAATAGGAATTTCTCAACACAAGCGTGAAACCAGCAGCTTATGCTTCGCAAGTCTGTAGTGATCAAAGTCACAAGAAATTGTACAGTATGGCCAGCAAGCTTGTCTTCTTCGAAACTGCAGAACAGCCTTCTGGTATGTCTGATCTATTTCCTCTTCGTCCGTTGAGAAATCTTGTGTCCCTCCGGCCTTGGCTAAGAAAACTCCCAAATCCGCTAAGTGGACACACAAGATCTGAGTTTGGTGTATGGAACTGGAAGTCAAGACCAAACTATTGACTTGGCAAGGGTTGCTGCTCCGGGATTTTATAAGACTGGCCCAGCCTCGGGTTTCACTCAATTGGCTGCAGCAACTGCACGTGCTTGAATTTTGAATTCTTTCACAATGAAATTGAACAAGACTAATTCTACATTCCCCGCTTTCGTAGGGTGTTTCCAAAGCTGCTCTGGCCAGAGAACGAGAGCTCGAGAGACGAGCAGCCATTCTTGAACAAATCAACAAGGAGCCAGAACCAGAAGTCAAGAAGAAGAAGAGACTGTTTTAAGAGGAGAGATAGTTTCATTTCCTTGTTTATATATACAAACTTTTTTCAGAATATTTATGTGCACAATAGTCCCTGCAGAAAGATAGTGTGTATGGTGTTGATGTTTTATCTTCCTCGGCCTCTTCCGCCGCCTCTTCCTCCTCCGCGAGATCCTCCTCGAGCTCTGCCCCTTCCTCGTCCTCGGGCAGCTATGCAAAGTGTGGTAATTAGTATCATCGTTAAGGAACCACTTTTACACAAAGCGACACCTACCGCCCTCCTTCTTTTTGCTCTTGGCCTTTGGCGAATCGTCAATCAATAAAGTATCTAGTGGCAAGGAGTCTGGTAGTATGTAGAATCGAATGTTGCTTCCTCGAATGGAGAGTGTATCAAGCTGCATAGGTTCTTTGTTCTTGACTGTCATCTTAACAGTCTTGAGATGTGTATTCATTTGCATGCTGGATAAAGAAGCATGGTAAGTGGCCGGGCCGTGTTCTGTTTCGTGACTTAAATTCACTTACTCTACACCTGTGACGGTACCATTGACTATTGTGCCATTCTTCAATTCTATTGTGACTGTTTCATTGTTCAATTTCATAAGAAATCTAGCGAAATGTAAATAATATCGGCCGGTTAGAACCAGTTTGTGCTAGATTCGTCCTGCTCAAATTTAGCTCCATTAGAGTTGTCGTGTTTTGCAGCTTGTGTATTAACACGACAGGTATTCGCAGCAAGGTATAATATTTCAATTTCATTCAAATTGACTAGATTCTCTCCATTCCATTGTCGTGACGTTGCTATAATTCCTCTCCCAATGACATCGTGTCTCTGTGGTTAATGTCGGCTGCTGCTTGTTCAGGCGAGGATTTGGAGACACCTTCCATATAATACTCCACAATAAGCGTAATAGAGAGTACGTGTACTAATGCCTCCCGGCCCAAAATGACTTGCAAATCGACCAATTCTGTCCACCCTCACAATTCCGACTTCCATCCAATCCATCCATTATTAACTCAATAGATAAATACTTACCGAACAAGCTTCATCTTGGACAGATATATCTAATAATACTATTAATCCTTCTTCCTTGTCTCTCTGCTTTGTTGAAACTTGAGAACTCCACGAAATTGATTAATTTGAATAAGCTTAGGATTAACTAGGAGATGAAACTCGACAAGGACTCGGTAAATCACGTTGTTTGGAACTTGATTTTATTGATAATTGAAATTTATATACGCATACTGTTTGCATGTCTAACGTTTAATATGATCAAACCACCTAGTTCTTGACGAGATTGGGCAAGTTATTCGAAGCAAACAAGACAACTGGAACTGTATGGCTGACGTTCAAAAGACGTATGCAAGTCATTTTACTCGTTCTGGTGGTCGTGAATCTAAAGCTTTACTCCCATAGTCACGTATGCCAAAAAGAAGGAAACAATCAACCCTCCTGCTGATGTGCTAGAAGATCCTGAAATTGAATTCCCTTGTATTATACGCGCTACCAATGGGAAGATAAAAATCAGTACCTTGGTATGTTGCTCCACCTACCGTGTTGGAGGTCAAGATCCATCGTGTACTGACTTTGCCACACACATTAACAGGTCATGGCAGGCGACTTGGACAAATTCCATGATGCCTTGACGAATCTTTGTAAAGTGCATATGGATGCTCTGAAGAAGAAGGAACGCGTCAAGAAGCCGAAAAAGACAAAAGCGAAACCTGAAGCTGTCGCTAAATCTTGAATTTGTTTCCGGATGAGATATAAATAATTGTACAGATCTACTTGTAGAAAAGAAACATGAACTAATTGCTCACGAAACTCTTGCCTTTGGGTTTGGTTTGGCTGCGCAGGAAATTGAATCAGGACGTGTTTCCTCTTGGCACCTTCAAAAACCAACATCTGTATTAGAAACGCGGTTGCTCTCCTACGAGAATATAGAGAAAATGCCTCTCCTTTCAAAGGTGACTACGTTCTCCTTCAACAAGGAAAGTTTCATGGCCATGGGTGGGTTCATGTTGGTGAAAAACCTCTTGCTCTTGATCAACTTTCTATCCTTGGTACGTGTTTGCCGTTAGTAATTGAACTCAATTCGAAGAATTTCGAGCCATTTGCCTCATCATACAACGTTTCCGAAGAGCGTTTCGAGAAGTATTTTCCACGTGATAAAAATCTGACGCAACATCACATAGCTCGGCGGTCTCATTTTGATTAGTGGTGGTGGATGGATTCAATCTCACCAAAGTGAAGATGCTCTTAGTGCTATCGTGTCTTCTATTGCCACTGGTGCCATAGTTATTGGTGTTTTCGTCACTTTGGTCTCCTTTATGGGTTGTTTCGGTGCTGCAAACGAACGTGGAATACTCCTCAAGACATACTTTGGTTTACTCGCTCTTTTGATTATCTTTCAAATCGCCATTGGAAGTGCTGCTTATTCCAAACGTGAAGATGTAGGCTAGAAAGTGCATGTTGAAATTCGGGGTAAATCCAACATATTGTTTGTATAGATTCCGGAACTAGTCGGAGAAGCCTGGAAAGATCTGTATTTGAACTCCAACCAAACCATTCAGACCATTGAAGCCTACGTAAGAGAAGCAGAGTGAAACAACAATGTCACCTTCATCACTGACATTCTTCCAAATTGTAGTTCCAATGCTGTGGATTCCACAACACTACCGATATGGCCGTCCCATCCACTTGCCAAGTCTCGCGATTCGACTTAAGCAACAAGACTGGATGTCTCGATGCCGTTACCAACTCTTTGGACGGTCAACTCAGCACAATTGGAGGAGCCGGTCTCGCCTTGGGAATCATTGAGTTTATTGGCTTAATCTTCTCTGCATTGCTATTCAGAAGAATTGCCCAGAAGGAGCGTGCTTCCGACAACCTTATGAATGAGGCCTGGAGAATCAACAGATCCAAAATTCAATATGGGTATCAAAACTACCAATACGTTTGATTCCCGACACACAATCAAGTCTATTGCTGGAAATACCTAGTACAGTCACAGTTCAGTCTATTTGATAGTTAGTTACCGTTTGATTTCGTCATATCCGTCAACATCTTGTAAAACTCTCAACAAATGTAAAAATTCCAAGCGAACGTGTTTTGAACGGCTTGATTTGAACAGTTGTCAGATTCAACGAGATGTGAGGACCTTGATGTATTTACGTCAGCTATTTATGTAGGATTACCTGGCTTGCTTTGATGCAAATGGTGACTACGCGCCGCAACAGAACAAAGCTTCACGACAAACGTGATTTCGCAACAGAAAGCCGTAGCATTCGCTGTCTGATGCAATCTCGCCTCGCCGAAAGGCACCAAATGAAAGGGACAACCCTCGCCACAGACCCAATCCAACAATGATTCACCCAAACACTAAAAACTCAAGTTTGCCAACCTTCTTCAAAGACACCCGACGCAGATTTGTCGGTAGTAAAATTGATAGGACTTCAGAATTACTTGAAAAGCTATTGTGATGAAGTCTACATCCCCAGTAGCCATTGCGCCAAAACCTCAAAATGGGGTGAGCTCGTCACGTAAGCGGCAGAATCGTCACGAAGAACAAGAAATCCCTGCCGATTACTCCCATAACAGTGAATTGGATGCCGATGTTGACAGCGATGGTGCCAATGCATCGTTATTTGATACTACTACACCCACGCATCAGGATATCCAAGATGTAATCAATTCATTGGGAATGCTTCCTAGGAAGAGACCAGCTAGGAAAAAGACATCGCCCGAACAATTAGCTGAATTGGTCAGTGTGTTTGAAAAGACAGATAGCCCCAGCTTTGAAACTAGGGAGGTCTTGTCGAAGAAATTGGGAATGTCGAATCGTGAAATCCAGGTATGTGATTACTTCTTGGTATTTTGGTTTCAGTCCATCGAATGCAGATATCTGTTTACTGACTAGATTGTGCTATATAGATATGGTTTCAAAATCGAAGAGGCAAAGTCAAACGAGAACGCCTTCAAGCAGAAAATCCAGGAATGAAAAAGTCTGCTTCAAGTAGAAGTACCAGCAACAATCAAACTCCAGTCAGTCGCTATCCCAAAGCCATAATTCAAGCGCCTATGTCAATGAGTCAGTATCAAGCCTTTGGCAACGCCAGATTGTCACCACTCATGATAAATCCAACGATGGCCATGAATCCGCAGTTCGGGCCTATATCGCCAACCGCCATGGGAATCCTACGCTATCCTCAATCACCTACTGGCCAGATGATGATGCATCCAATGATGTACGCTTCAAACGGAATGTCGTATCTCACACCTCAGATGCCAGGACAGCAAATGCCGAATATGCCTATGCAACAAATGCCAATTATCCCAGTACAGCAAATGATACCTACTATTCCGATACAGCAAATGTTGCCTGGTTTGCAAATGCCACGTCATCAAATGTCCAATCAATATATACAAGGAGAGACAACAACATCCAACACTCAAGTTACCAATACCACTGCTGGAATAAATCAGCATCAGTTCAATAATATTCAGTCATCCTCTAGTCTGGCAGCGTTGGAACAGGATCTCAACCAAGTATCACCTTCGTCAGCACCACCACTAGCACCAGAAACTTCTACACCACACCCAACTCCCATGCTTCCCAGTCCGGACAAGACAGTCAAGCAAGCAGCTGCAAAACTAAGTCACAATCCAACCCTAACTTCACCGTTAAAGTTGTCTACAACCTCAAGACTGGAAACTGCACCAATTGTTTCACCGACATTCTGGGTTCCTGGATTCGAGCAAGGAATGTCGCCTACCACTTCAGCATTCCCGTCTGGGATGTCACCCATGACGTATCAATTCCCGTCGTATTACTTCACGCAGCAGCCATGGGGTAGTCCGACAAACGCAGGCTCGACGAATCTGCCTTCTACGCCAACTCTTGCTGGACCTACTCAGCAACCAACATATGCTCAGAATACCAGCAGCAATACTAGTTTGGGCCGTACGAGTAACAGTATAAGTAAGAACCTGCAGCTGGACAACACAACACTCGGCAAAGCTTACGGATCGAATTACGTATATCACTCCGATGCAAATGCTGGATCCCAAGACTATACTCCTAGAAGGCCACCGCAACTTGTAATTCCACAACACGCTAGCCAAGAAGCTCCATTGATCAATTCAGCTGCTGACGCATTATTGACTGCAGCAGACATTTTGGCTGAACGACAAAGGACTTAAATGGTGCACTTAATATGATGTTTGATGCGACAATTAGTATTATGAATCAAAAATAAAGTAACGATCAAACAACCAAACGCAGCACGTGCGTGGCTGTCGATGTAAAATCGCTCGCGACTGACTTTATTCTAGAAAGAGCGGTGAACGTGCTCAGGTTTGTAATGCTCGTTTGACACGTGATATGATTTGGGGTTTCCCATCGTTTCCCATCGTTGACCCGTCTTGAACCATCAAAACACTTTGCAAATGCCGCTTTCGGTTCGAGAAAGGAAGCCTAGCAACCCATAAAGCAGACATATCTTCACCATAGCAGACTCTGACTGGATAGTAGTGGCGAGAATGGATCCAGTAGACGACAAACACACCGACCCCGAACTTGTAATTGTCGAAGACGATGTTGAGGATGTAGCCAAGCCGGAAACTGCATTCAGCACATTATCTAGAATACCGAGCACCTTCTATGACTTTGTATGGGAGATTCTCTCTCCTCCGTCAGGAAATACGCATTCGACATTTAAAGATCAAATACCAAGTGCTGACACGACAACCACATCTGGACGAGACCGTGCTGAATCTTTCTCCTCGTCTTCACCTGACGATGATTCTGGTTGGGATGACGCTGCGAGTGTCAAGCAAAGCAGTACGTTCAGGCGGTCTAGTCTACCTGAAGCTGTTATACTTGCGCTGGAGGAAGATCGCAGAAGTGTCAAGGTAATGGACGTTGTGTGGGAACGAATCTCATTTATTACAATCACTGATCCATATTAATATGATATTAGGAGCTACATCCGAAAAGTGAACGCCACTCAGTCTTTGATGTGTTCGATAGACCTATATCGCTCATAGGAGTGACGGACCCGGAGAGTGTCATTGTCACTCCACAACTAGCTTCTCAGGTATGCATTTGCTTGGCGTCAACTACCACATCCTGTTAAGCTAATGAACTTCAACGCTTTAGCTTCGACCACATTTGACTCCACTTTTGAGAGACTGCCATTCATGGAAGTTTCTTTATGGTTTATCGACCCACGGTGCACGCTTAGCTACAATATATGAAACGCTGAGTACAGAGAGTGGTTCGATACTGCTAGCCATCCGAGATACTCAAAACAATGTATTCGGCGCCGTGTTGAATGAGCCACTCGTGTGTTTGCCTGGCTTCTACGGAACAAGTATTGGAAGGTCAGTTTCATAACCATTGTGACATGTACTTTCCTCAACTCACACGATCTAAATGATAGTTTTCTGTGGAAGCAGACATCGCAAAACGAAGCAAAGGCATTCCCAGCCACGGGTAGAAACGACTATATCATCTTCTCGGATCAGAATTTTGTAACGATTGGAGCAAGCAATGGTGAAAATGGAATCTGGTTTGATGCTGAACTGGTAAGAATTTAGAGCATCTCATTGTTATTGCCGCATTCTAACGTGTCTCTTTAGTATCATGGTCACTCGGCACGCTGTGAGACTTTTGACAATGAGCCATTGTCGTCAACTCTTGAATTCGAGATAGTCGAACTGGAAATATGGGGATTTCGCCATTAGCTGCTCTAGCTTGAATCAAATCTGTACGCCATTAGCTGCTCTTGTGCGAATCAAATCCGTATGGTGCTTCTAAGTCTCCATTACTGCCAAAGGGTTTCAAGGCTCAAATGTATAGCAACATGTAAAGAATATTAGCACAACTGTAGCTTAATTATCAGCACATATTAATAATTGAATCAATTCAAAACGATACTTGTCGTACCTGGTTGTCGTATACTTGAGCACGTGACAACGTAGCTCTTGTTCCCACGTTCTCAGCATCAAGTCAACATCAGGCCTTGTAGGGAAGAGGGACGGCACTCAGGGTTGCAGAGGCAAAACATGCCAGCCACGTCCAAGTTTAAATCGGATTCTACTGTCAGCAAGCAAGGGCTTGCCTCGATTCCGCAAGCTTTGGCCAACGGTGTTGATCAGCAACGACATTGGATTGCTTTCATCCGAGAACTGGAAGAAGAGCTCTCAGAACAAAGCGATATCAGCATAGAACGAGTCATTGAAGCTGTACGTTACCCTATTTCATATATCCAATTCCGTGTTCTGATCAAACATTTAACACAACGTCAAACATCAAAAATTCAGGGATTATACCTCTCGCCCCAAACCTGGAACTCCATAGTAGAAGAGCGAGCCTTGTCAATATGTGGATACCCACCATGCTCGAAGCCGAAAAGGAGGTCGCCTGTAAGACAGAAATTGATTCCAGGGCTCAAGAATGGACGGATTTATGATGCTGAAGAGCTGGAACAGTACTGTTCGACTAATTGTCTGGAATTGTCTCGCTATGTCGCTGGACAGTTGTCTAGTGATCCGGTCTGGATGAGGGATTTTGGAAGGTATTTGGTGTGATGTGTTGAGGCTTCACATCCAGTCGGCTGAAACTCTCTTTATTGCTCATTAGCATGAAGCCGATATCTGTTCCGTGGCCTGAGACTCTTGCCCGGTGAGTCTCCATAATATAAATACAAATCCCCTTTTTTCTCATACCAATTGATGTTTTATCACCTTAGCGATCTTACATCTCATAATACCACCGAACCTGTACAACAAGCACCAGTCTCCACCGACACCATTTCGAATCTGATGCAGGCCGTATCTATTGGCTCAGATCTAGTCATCGTCGAGAAACAAAACAAGACCATCAGCACACCCATTGAGCCTCCCATAAACGACCAAGGCCACGATATTGTAGAAGGACTGAAGCTGCTACGACCAAACGCACGAATAAAACAAGCTCCCACTATACCACCCAGCCAAACACCATCACCACAACCCACAAACCCAACCACTCAAACCAACGATACCATAATAGCAAACCGAGCCCTACTAGCCATGAACGCACGCCTTCTTCCAACACCATCCAAAAAGCCAATCCCAATGTCACCATTCACGAAACTATGGACTGCGCTGTCGCGAATGATTACGCAGCAGTCTAAAATGTATATACGAAGTGGTGACCGCGTGTTGTGTAGGCCGGTTAAAGGGACGGTTGAGTTGGAGACTAGACGGCAGATTCTGGCGGAGAGGATGCATGAGAGGTAAAAAAAATGCTTGCTGGCATGAATTATTGTTTGAGAAAAGTGGTACTCACATCTCTCGATTATGTATCTCCATAGATTTATCGCCTTCCGAAAGTCGTATAAGATCAGCACAGATGTCGCTGAAGACCTTGCATTTCTAGTCGAGACGCTTTACCTGTCCGTGGATGATGCAGTTTGGAAGCTACCAGAGGAAATCGTGTTGTGTGCAGTGCTTCTCAAGGCGTAAGTGTATATATCTGAACCGTTTTTTGGTGCTTCTTGGATGTTTTTGTACCCACTTTTAACAAATTTCTCTCAGGTTGGCCAGTAGTCGTTCATCACTAGCAAACGACCTTGCAGATTGCTGGAACTCTATTGGAAGCGTCTTGAATATGGATGACCTGAAAATCAAGGCACTTGCTGACTTGTTTGGGAAGACCGATGCAACCGGGGCAGTCACTTTGTGACACGAGGGTCTGATCTACTAGGCACATGAATATTGCGAAGCATCACCCTGTAAAAACAATTATGACCACCAAGATAACATTTTTGCATCCCCCTACACAACAAAATCCATTGATACAACTGTTGGGACCTGATGATTTGTTACCACTCAACCATCCCTGTTGTAAATCCTTTTGCAAAGCCTCGTGACGCTCCAGGTTGCTGCATCTTGTTTCAATTGCCTCTATAAATCTTGCACATAAGAACATTCGCAGATTCGTCATTATCAGACATCATAGAGGAAACAGACGGCAGCCAGTTCTGAGTTTAAATCACATTTACTGCCAGCAAGCCAGGGCATTCATCGATTCCGCAAGCTTTAGTCAAAGGAGTCGATCAGCAGAGACGCCGAGAGGCTGGATTGCTTTTATCCTTGACTTGGAGGAAGATCTCGAAACCATCTGTGGCAGTATCGAACCAGTCATTCAAGCTGAACGTTGCAATGTATCGAATCCTTTGTTTGATCAACCATTTTACACGACTCTAAACATCAAAGTGTAGGGATTATACCTCTCGCCACAGACATGGACGTTTGTAGTAGAGGCGCGAGACATGCCAGTTTTGTCGATATCCACTATGCTCGAAACCAAAAGGAGTTCACCTATGGAACAAAAATCAATTCCAGGGCTCAGGTAGAGAAGGATTTATGGCCCTGAGGAGCTGGAAAAGTGTTGCTGGACTAATTGTCTCGTTACGATACTGGACGGTTGTTACGTTAGACGTACATGATGAGAATTCATGTTTTGTGAGATATAACAGCTGGTACAATATTGACACTCGTCTTGCCACTGGTTGCCTGGTACAATGGCTGCCATCTATTTTGGATACTCGCTGCTCCAACAGAACATTGAATAGATTTAGTGTTGAATAGGCCAATATGTTAGCTCAAGATGGATCGAAGTACGTATGTAGCAAGATCGTTGGAGAGATTGCTTCTTCCCTCCCCCAGCTTACTAAATTGTACAAGTACCACAGATTTGTGGAGCTACTTATTATCTGGCTCAGTTATGGTTTGGTCATCTTTCTCATTGTCAAGTAAGGGTTTGAATTCAGAGTACAGAAATTGTGCAGCTGCTCACACAGCTGCATTACTATTTAGCACCTTTAATGTGTTGTATCGTGAAATCTTCCAAAAATACGGCAATGGAGAGGGTTAGTACTGGAAGGGTCGCTCAACATCCTTCCTATCTATTTGTGTTCATTGGCGTCTTGATACGTTGAAAGACCACGAGCAACTCTCAGTATGAACCAGAGCAAAGCTCCAGCCACGGTGATGACGAGAAAGCGCTAGAGGAGTAAAAGAGGAGGATTATGGTTTAATGGCCGTGCGGACCCTTTTCAAACAAATTCGGATTCTAATCTAGATGATGACGGAGAGGAAGATCATGATGATGTTCCTCAATGGGTTGAGAAAAATGCTGCTTGTGAGACGCTCAATGATGCTGAACTAAGTTCAAATTCTAAACCGCTTCTTGACGTGTTAAGCCTTTGGTGCAAGTTGTTTCCATTTGAGAAATGACGCACCGATGTTAATTAAGTTAGTCCTGGTCTTTTGTTGGCCAAGTCGATACAGCTGAAGTTTGCCCTGCGCGCCCGCCGAAGACGCCTCGAAAAGCAGTGGTGTATATCTCCCGTTCGTTTCTTGCCTTATGATTCGTTCCGCTTGTGTACAGGTGTAGTTAATATAAATAGCACCTTCCTGGACAATGACAACCATCGTTTAGGGTGATAATACTATGGCAGGTTGTTAAACTCGTTCAACAAGGCGTCTGGGGCTATACTTCACGTTCAACAAACAAATGATGGCGGCAGATAGACGAAATATGATGCAACGGCGGCACGGAATGAGTTTTAAACCCTGCGAACATAAAAGAAAAGCAATCTTTTTTAAAAAACCGGCAGAAAAGTCAAAAATGAGTCCGGGTTACGAACTCCCGCGGTTTCACTCTCGCCCTGTTTCTCACGCTTAACCAAGCATTTTACTGGGGTTGAGATCATACATACGTTGCTGAGTAGCTAAGCTAAGCAGGATCGACGTGCAAGCTGGGCGTTAGACTTGATTTTATGGTAACGCAGTCCACTTCACTCCGTTTTTTCCTAGTAATGTGGATCCAGCAGGAGGAGCCGATGAGAAAAGCTCTCTTAAATTCAAATTGCTCCCTTCCAGTAGTGACTGCCTTCGACTCTGTCACTCCAGTTCTGTCTCAATCCGATGCAAAGTAAGCTCTCACCTTTAAACAAAGCTTGGATTGTTGACCTCTGGCTTAATTAGTAGGCATATGGGTCTGGTTATACTTAGTATTGCTGCAGTGTTGGTATGTATGGTCTTACACGGTTTGTTGCATATTGGGTCTCGGATGCTCCTCGAATCCTCATCCGATCCATATTATATTGGTCTGTGTCATTTGGTGGTATGTTTGGCTGCGTGATTGTCAACTTTGATTGGCTCCCAACCAAAGTGACCACGACTTCATCACTACAGGTGTATTTGAAGTCCCATCAGACATCACTACAGCCACAATATCGATATTCGTCTAAACGCTGTCTGGTATAACGACCGCCTTCTATTTCTTGTCAAGTAATTTGTAGCTTAAGTTTGAGTTTCTAATTCGGCCTAACATTTGATTTGGGAGGATCTGAATGTTTAGATTTGATTTTCTCAACCATTCCGTGATATTCCCCGATGAATACACGTAGACAGCAAAGCTACGTCCTTATCTCTGGTCTTTGATCACACTTGAAGGCCTTCACACTATGGTGTTGGACCTGAAATCATATTGTTGTCCTAAGAGTGTTCAGAGTGGTTTCATGTTGGTGTCAGTGGACTCAAGGTACTGTTGGTTTTGCTGTTGCCTGAATGATTTGACAATAAACAATTTCCATGTTCATGATAGGAAACAATCTCACACGTTTCTGAGCACGAGAACAGTCTGCTTTTTGCGATATATCCTGCTTCCGTAGAAGTAGTGAAACTACATCCTGACACAAGCTCACAAATCGACTTGCGAGGTGTCAATCGTATGGTATCGATCGGTAGTTCTCGAATCGCCTTGTCAGCCAGAGGTGAAACTGGCGTTTGGTGTGTCAGAGTGCTCGATATTAATACTTTGGTTGGTCAGTTATGTTCTTCACTTTTGTCATTTCGTTTAGCATATTGCTGGAGTTTTCTTCTCTGGTTAGATCTTTCAACATACACTCTAAACAAATCCTGGAAACTCTTTGATATTGCTTGGTCGCACAGCTACTTTTATACAATGCAATCTGATGACTTGGACTGGCGAATCGAAGTAATCGCTTTGAAGGATCACGTAATGAACCGCCACACTTTGCTTCCACTCAACTATCGGGCACTAGCTCTACACATCTGCCATCATAAAGTCATTCTTATTGCACTGGCCAATCGTGTCATCAACCCATCCTTATTGCGAGACGATGCTACAATCCACCATGTATCTAGAATGGATGGACTCTTACTTTTTGCTCTCACTGGAGCTTTTCATTACACGCAACCATAATCTAGTGATTGTATCAATTGCAGATAATGGTCAAGGAACAACTATCTTCGAAACACGATTGTTGGCTGTCACTAAAGCTCTATCGCCATCGGAGTTGGTATCTTGGGAGTCTGACAATCAGAATCTCTTGTCTGTGTTTGCACTCACAAAGTCCAAAATCCCATTCATTAAGAAGAAGACTACTGATCTTTGATGCGATGTGGAAGGGTTTATATTGGATGTAGCTGATATTTTCATATCTCATAAAACAAGATATCGACCTTACGATAATGTGTACTTTCTGTTCCTGTCGAACAGTTACTACCTACTTGAACTTGCACCGTCTTCAGCCCTCTTCGTCACTTTGAACCATCGATGTTTCGACGGATTCCACACAGACTTCCAAGCCAACGAGCTCGCCGCCGTCTCCACCACCAGCCAACATCTTGCCAGCATCAGCTAAATCAAGCACGCAGCAAGCTGAAAACCATCCTCCATTGACATCAAACCCACCTGCATCGCCTGTAAAAGTTATCAAAGCTGTCAGCGATGTAGCATCCTTCCTCACAGCCTTCATTCAATATGTAGCTCAACTCTTTGTATTCTCTGGATGCCAGCTACTCTTTTGCTCCTCGAACTTGCCTAGCTTTGTACAAGATATTGACTCAACGCTCGAGCCCTCAATGCTAATCATAAACCTGCTAGATGAACAAGCCGTTTATGACGATCTTGTATTTGAGAATCTTTTCGGAAAGGAGGCGTCTGCTGAATCTGCCGGTATGGTTTTGAACGTGTCGTATTGTTTGCTAGTGCACCACTGAACAGTTTCTTTTGCACACCTAATTAAAGCTGTGGTCTTGTTGATGAATCCTGGGAGGAAAGCGTTCTCGTATCTGTACAGATATCTATCTGCAGTGTTTGTTTTATCGCAGCAGCTACTAGCGGATCGTGAGAGCTCGTGCTGGATTGCGTGTGCTGGTATTGACACATATCGCAAGAGATTTGATAAATAAACCAGAAGAATATGGCAATAGCCGCAAAGTAAGAAACGACCTGTATTGGAAGAGGCATGGGATTTGTTTCGCGGAGAGGTCAAGCAGATGGAGGAGAGGCAGCAGAGATATGAGATTATTGAGATTGTGTTGAGCAGGCAGAGTGTCAAGCTCGAGATGGATCGAGGTACGTAGTTAGCAAGATCGTTGGAGGGATAGCTTGTCCCTCCCCAAGCTTACTAAATTGTACAACTACCACAGATTCGTGGATCTATTTATTATCTGGCCGGGTTTGGTTTGGTCATCCTTTTCCATAGTCAAGTGAGAGTTTTAATTCAGAATTCAGAAATTGTGCAACTGCTGACACCCACTGCATTATTATTGTTTAGCACCTTTAACGTGTCGTATCGTGAAATCTGCCAAACATACTGCAATGGAGAGGGTTAGTGTGGCTTAAAACTCCAGCGACGATGATGACGTTGAAGGCGCTAAGAAAAGGGACAGCCGTATGCTCTAATGGCCGTGCCAACCCATTTCAGACATACTCGGATTCTAATTTAGATGTTAAAGAGGAGGACGATCATGACGATGTTCCTCAATTGGTTGCGAACAATGTTAATAGTCGAATGTTGAACCAAAGTCAAATCCTAAACCGCTTGTTGACGTGTAAGCCCTTGGTAGTCTTTTGTTGGCCAATTCGATATAGCTGAAGTTGTCCTGCTCGCTGAAGAGGCCTCGAAAAGCTGAGGTGGAGACCTCTCGCTCGTTTCTTGCGATATGATTCGATGCGTTCGTGTTCAAACAAGTAGAATTAATATGAATAGCATCTTCCTGGACAATTAAACCCATCGTTTAGGGTGATAATACTATGGCAGGTTGCAAACTCGTTCAAAAAGGCGTTTGGAGCAATTAGGTCACGTTCAAACCCCAAATGATGGCGGGAGATAGACGGCATATGATGCGGCACGGATTGAGTTTAATCCCTGCGAAGATAAAACAAATTCCCATATTTGAAAGTATTTCTGATGACAGGTACTGGATTCGCGTCGTATTCCGTGGTTGAAATATAAACTGTTATTTGAAGGGGAGACACACCCACACAAATAGATATTGAGCTACAAATCAATTATGCCGATATGATTACGTCATGTTGGTTGCGACTGTTGCAAGTATTCCGGATACCGCACCACCAACGGCTGCAGTTAGGGCAGTTGCGGCCGTTCCAAGACCAACAGCTCCTATAGATTGGGCAATAGCTACTAGGGAGCCGGCAGGAACGGCACCTATGTTCTCAAAATATAAATAGGCTTGAATACAACCACCACCACATAACAGACTTACCTCCATAAGTAGCCATTGCAGCTGAAGCAAGTGTATTAGCAGCCACTCCCCCTGGACCAAACCCCATGAATGCAACACCCCCTACCACAACAGTCGGTGTTACCACTGCACCCACAACGACAGCTACAGGTATCGCTGCATACATGGCCCATGTCTTTATAGAGGACCGTGGTTGTTGTTGCCTCGCCATATCAGTTGCACTAAAGAAAAGCACGTGAAACACCTGTAGGAAACACAAGACACCATAGTATCATACCTGTTTACCCAGTTTTCCAACACAAAGAGTTCGCCATCGGCAGCATAAATTCGTTCCCTTGTTTTCTCTGGTAGATCCAACGTCTGTTGACAATCTTCTAGAATTGTTTTGCGACGGACTGCTTCAGCGTCAACATCATCATTCTCATGCTGTACCACTAGAACGATTCCCTCTCCATCCATAAAGGTGTCCAAATCGACTTCTGCAATGATACCAACGGTTGCTTCGTGTGGAGGACACTGTAGTTTGTTTGGACGGAAGTGGATGACACGGCCTTTGCGGTCGCCAATGCCTATATATATTCCATGATGAAAGTAGGGTTTGAATTGGGAGGTCTGTGCCAGGATATGGTCTCCTGGTTTCAAAACCCCCTTCCAGGTGGTCAAGTCAATGAGGCGTCATGCGATAAGTCTTATCATGGAGTCGTTTAGCATCTTCAAGTACTTTTGTTTGGGTATCCATGATGTTCGGCTAACTGCGATTCCGGATAGAGATTAATTTCGGCCAAGTTGTGATGTCGGTTAACCAAGCAACTTTCAAAAAGGGTGTCACTCCAATAAAAGCCCGATTCTCCCACTTCGGGAGTTGAGGAAACACTTTTGCACTTTTAACAACACACTACACAACAACTCACATTGCACCTCCTCTGTCCTTGGTTTATGGTCGTTTTTTCGCCAGGAGTCTTTGGAATTTTTCAAAAGAAAGTCTGTTGTTTGAATCCCTCGGCTATAACAGCATTTCAGATGCCAATTTAAAGTGAAAGTACGTGTTGACATGCCTTGAAATATATATTTTGTTTCATTTTGTTAGATTAAGTCAACTGTATCACGTCGAAATTGTGTATTTGACACATCGCGCACTTTTGCACCCTCCAACCTTCGAAACTATGGGACCTCCCACGTTTCCGATAATAACCCAGCCTTGGTTAAACCATCCAATCTTCGCAATTTGGAACGTAAAGCTCAACAGGACTTAAAAATTGTTTCTGGCAGCTTGCCGTTTATTTACCGTGCAGATAGTGTAGTATAGGACGATGCACAATCTGCCTGGAGCAGTCACGTTGTGAGACGAGAGTTTGATCTACTAGACACATGCATATATTTAAACAAAAGCAGCATTGTAACCACAATTATACCAGCAACACAACAACATGCAATCAATACAACATATTAGGCCCCGACGACGTAGCACCACTCCACAACTCCTGCAAATCCTTCGCAAAGTCCCGTGGCGCACCCGGCTGCTGCATATTAACCAACACTTTAAGAGTAAGCGCTTCTGACAGCGATACGAGCGACAGCGAGCCGTCTGGATTGGGTGGAGCAACAGATGTTGATGATGCCGACCACCGCGATGCTGCACCTGATGTGCGGGTAGAGGATGCTGTGGGCGGGACGGTTGGGACGAGTCGTACTATGTCTTGTTCTGTGGAAAAAAAGGGGATACAACAAATGAGAAAAAAGTTGCTTGATATGAAGACAAACGGCGCTACTTTTTCTTCACACCAACACTCACCATCAACAGACTCATCAAGCATTATCTTCTTCACATCCAGCGAATACAGAAACGTATACTTTTTCTCGATGTCGTGCTCCTTGCCACGTCTAAGTGGATTAACACTGCATACTATGAGAGCATCGGAGAGGAGGAACAATCTTAGGTTCTTGGGTGCGCGTTTGGCTGTTGTATCCAGTGCGTCGTACGTGGATACAAATCGATGTATTGTTGAGTCAGAGGCTTGTGACTAGGGGTGAATGGAAATTGAGAATAGGAGCTGGATTGCTTAGTTTACGTCAACTTACAGGCAAGTTATCAACTTGCTTGGCCATAGTCGCCATAGCTAAAGCAGCTGCTTCGTCCTTTTGTACTTTGTTTAGTACTGCTCCAAGTTCGTACAGGTAGTCTTCGGTAGCAGGTATACTATAAGAATAGTGACGTTTAGTTCAACATTTCAGATCTCGTGCTTTTGATTTGAAAGATGGCGCACCAACGATATGAGGGATGATGAGGATCACATTTACCAACCAAACCTAAAAGTTTGAATTTTTGGTTTCAAATATCAATACGATCGAGGTTGCAAAAAAAACAACCGACATATTGTCTGGTGGATACGAGAAATGTTCTTTCCATGTCCTCCAAAGCGCTACCACTTACGTTCAAATATCAACCACATGGATGGAATACGCCGAATAGGCAGCACAATAAAATGCAAGAAATCTTGCCGTTGCCATATCTTTTGGTTTTCATACGCAGCCAAGAACTCTCTAAACAGCTCTCCTCGAGCACCACCTCGCACCCTCAGTTCATCGAACAGATTCCTAATCATAGCAAAGCTCTTGGCGTATAGTGGATACAGGGCTGACATTTCAGGAGTCTAAGAAAGCAAAAAAAATGCTCCAATGAGTCAAAATACCCAGTTTTTTCACTCCAACACAAGTCATGCACACATACATATTGCAGAAACACGTTCGCAACAGAGACTGGATCTTCAGGATGCGTTTCTCGTGCAGCATCCAGTTTCTCACAGATTTCAGTAGTTAGTTGTAAGAGATCTGGCACATTACGAAAGTATCGATCCAGTTCTTCTCGACTCAGGATTTCATTTTGAGTGCCTGCGACTGCTATCATTGTTCCAACGATTCGCTAGTAGAGGTTCGGATCAAGAAAAAAGTCAAAAGACACAAAAATAAAAAACGAGCATAACAAAAACGACGATTGAAGAAACCCGCAACGTACATCATTAAGCACTTTAAGCCCATCCCGATAATTCTTCTCCGTCTCAATCAGCTCATTAACAATCATAACAGCCTTCTCCTGCTCCTTTTGCTGCTCCTGTCGACTCTGCAATATGACACGGTCGACAGCTTCATCGTCACTGATTATAAGGCCATGAGGTTGCGGAATGGATCCAGATGCAGTCACAGGGAATGTCCGTGGCGGGATGTGCGCTTGTGGGAAGGGATGGTTTGCGAGACTAGCGGATAATTGCCGTTTAGGGACCATAGCGGATGCAGTTCTCATTGGTGGATTGATCATTCTGCGGAGTTCGGCTTCCTGTTCTTCGCGATTGCCTTGGTTGCGGTGGGCCATGTTTTGCGTCATACCTTCGAGGAGGTTGAGGTAGTTCTGGTTCGGAGGTGTGAGTTGGTGAGGAAGGACAAAAAACAATGCAATAAATCTGCATAATGGAAATCGTAATGGTTCCATACCATATCGTTCAGATTCCCTCCCCCATTTCCCTTCTGAGCCTCCATAGCAGCCCGCCACTGCTCATACGTCCTTGCCACATCAGGAATAATGACATCCGTCAGTGTAGGCACCGCTTCCCGACGAGCCGACTGCACTCGAGTAGGCACAGTCGTCGTATTCGAAAACGCATTCACATCAAAGTCCTGTACAGTACCCATTTCCACGGCCGACTGCACGATTTGAGCCAGAGTTGGTCTATGCGATGATACCTTGATTGGTATTGGGTTTATCGGTATTTGAGCATCTAGCCGTTTGAGACATGACCGTTTAAAGCAGCCCTGCATTTGCATTCTGAGATGGAGGCCTATAGCGAGTTCTTCGTCGAATACTTCGGATATTTCTACCTCGTCGCCAATCGTTAATGGTACTTCTAGATCGTTGCCTGGTGGTGGGTTGTAGCTCCGTATGGCAACATAACGGCCAGCTTTGAATTCGTTGCTCTGGGGAGTTGAAGTTGAAGCGTTACCGTTACTGGCACCGGTGGGAGTAGTAGGACTATTACTGCTACTACCGCTGCGACTATTAGTATAATTAACAGAAGCAGGTCGGCTATAACTATTGCTACTATAACTATTACTACTAGGCTGTATTATTGGGGCAGTTGGTGCTATGGGTGACTGATTCGTAAACGATGAGATGGTTGAGGTTGGCAATGACCTAGTGGGAGATTCGAATATAGGGAATTTGGCAGGGAGCGGTCTCTCTGGTATATAGACAAGACAAGACACGGGAAACAGCCCTTCAGCACCAGTTACTTGATTTGTTCCCCAGACCATGTTCCCGCCCATTGATATTGATATAGTTACTTTATCAGCTACCTTGAGGTTTACTTCATCGTCGCTGGTTTTGGAAAAGGCGGTTTTCACAGTGTAGGTCTTTTCCGTGTCTAGGTTTTCTTCAGTAACTGCTTGCCACTTTTCTTGAGAGGGGTTAGCAGCACCGCCCATGGAAGCAGATGTTCGTGGCGGTATGACGGAGGAAGCAGCAGCACCGGTAGTACTGTTGGTAGTAGTCCTCGTGAGGCTACTACGTGAGCTTGTGGTGGTACCACTGCCTGCCAGGGATACTGTGCGGTCGATGCTAGGAGATACGGTGGAAGAAGGCTGAGTTGTATATTTGGTTATAGGTCGTCGTCCAGCCGCGATATCATAGTTTGGCGAATGTTGATTCTGATTTGTGGTGGTTCGTGGTGGGCGATCGTCATAGTCCTCTGCGACAGCAGCATTGTAGGGCTCGTTGGCTGCGATATATGGACTGGCAGCAAAGTTATCGTCCTGACATGTAAGTGGTGGTGTTTGTATATTAGATTGTGCAAAGTGGGCCAACGAATTGAAATGAAATGGAAGCTGGATACTTACCTGACGGAGCGAGGCCATTCCAGTAGGATGAGATGCGTGTAATCTCTCTCGGTGCTACTCCTTGTTCGTGCCTAGTGAATTTACTTCTGGGGCTGAATCGATTTCAACACTGTATTACCAACATCAAGACCGAGGATAACAATGAGAAGCAGACTGGCCGGCAAAAACGTACTGACTCTAAAACAGGTGCTATCATCGGTTTTATTTCTACTTAATCTCTCCCTGTTGCTGATCACTACAATTCCATCTAGTTTGCTCTTCGAACCGAAGTGCTCACTCTCTTTAAATGTCTCCTACGAACTGTAAAAGGTACCATTTTTATATTCATCACATCATATACATCACTTATACCCATCCTCAACATAGTCATGGAACCAGACGACAGAGCGTTTGCATCGGACTGGATTCGTCAAGATTTCAAACGACACATCAACGAATCAGATGAGGTACAATTTTACATGGTATTTCACCTTGCATAGTTACTCATACCTTACATTGCATTGCATTGCCAGATGAAGATACGCATGCTCTTGTCTCAGGGACGTGCTGAATTACGAAAGCTGGAAACAAACCTCATGTTGACAAACAAACTGCATCCATAACCCATCACTCGTTGTCGTGAATGGCCCGAATACTGCGGATACGACATTTTTGTCGTCATCGTCGTAGCTGGACCACCTAGCAAGAAGTTGCAAATGGGTCCCACCCTCAAACTGCAAATACTGGCCAGCACTGATCAATTAGATGATAGAGATATAATTTGTAAATATATTGTAGCAAGCATCTGGTCTTCATTCATCATTAAACTAACTCATCACTCCTACTCGCCGACGTTGCAAATTCGTTTTGGCGTGCTTGCCCAAAGCATTATACAGCCAGCAACAGATGGATCGAGAGGATAGTTGGAACCCTGATATGAAAATCTGGGTATCTAGAAATTGTCGTGCACAGCCCCTTATGCGAATCGTCGTGAAAATTTGAAATCGCTAGTCGGAGAGTTTTTTCTGCTGGGTCCTGCACACAAGATTTATTGGGTATTTGTCACATCGTGGCGATCCAACACAAATCAATCTAGCAACCTAATTCACTCCTCTAGCTTAGCCTCTTCACCGTCTCATCATGAGGCAATTCACGGCAATTGTAACGACATCACTGCTGGTCTTTGCCTCACTCACACAAGCTGTTTGTAAGACTCTTTTTGCGTTTATCGTTGAATTATCGAATTGAAATCATTGTTTCTCCATCTTTAGATGATGGATCTTGGATGGGTAGGAACAGGCTTGCTCGTTTTTCAACAACAACTGCCGCAAACAGTTTCATGCAGCTCCAGGTGCTTGCACCAGCTCTTATATTACTCATAATCTCACACTATGAAACCAATTCATAGGCGCAGGATCTCTTCTTTACGCAGGACCCACGCTAGCACAACCAACCACAATCACCAGCTCAAGTGGCTCCTTGTCATTTACTCTAACAGTGGACTCGTATGCCTTTAATGGGTATATTAGCTTCAACACTCGAGCTTATTACTATAATGGTGTTGGGTCTGTGCCTGGACCGACATGGCATGTAAAGCCTGGAGACACAGTAACGGGTGAGCCGTAGTTTCGTTATTGAAGTATTTATCAATTCACAATTCAATAGTAATCTTTTTTTTAAACAGTTACGTTGGTGAACAATCTCGGCAGCAATACTGATGCTGGCATTATGAACACGCTCCGGTCTCCTAATACCACGAACTTGCATACACATGGAATGCAAATCGACCCAAGTGTTGACAATGTTTTCATCACTGTCGCTCCCGGTGGAACCCACACCTACACTTATGTCATTCCGTCCGATCATCCAACGGGCTGCTTCTGGTGAGCCATCTTTTTATAACAGTTGCTTACTATTCGCCACGAATGAACAAATGCCTGACTATTGTTTTTCAGGTATCATTCACACTACCACGGCAGCAGCGCCCTACAAGTCATGGGCGGCCTCATTGGCGCAATCTATGTCGACGCAGCCGATACCTCCTCAGCTGCATTAAACACTCTTGCAACATACAGACGGATTCTCATGGTACTTCAGCACCTGTCCATGAGTTCCATAAACCCTTCCACAGACCCATTCAAAGTCAAGACGTACGTCGATCTCACCACATCAGCTGGGTCGACATTGCCAGTCGGCGCAACCTATGTGAATTCTTCTGTTCAAGACATTTATATGGTTAACGGTCAGTTCCAGCCTACGTTCTCGGCTACCACTGGAGAACAATTTATTGTGGATCTTGTTAATGCTGTTGGTGATCATTACATTGAGTTTGACATTCGAGAGTCGATTGGCGCTAGTAGTGTTACGACGCATTGTGATATGTCGCAGATTGCCATTGATTCGATTTATTTGTCAAGTATGAGGAGCGTCAGTTACGTTGTGTTACCACCTGCTGGACGGACGTCGGTTATCATTACATGCCGAGTAGGAGGTAAAGGAAAAAAAAACCCAAATTTCTGTAGATAATATGAACACCATCTCACACACCCCATCACACGAACAGGCACATACTACCTCCAATCATACCCCGACCTAGTCCTCCGCCCAGACGTTACCGCAAACGAAACCCGCTTCTACCAAAACCTCGCCACTCTAACAGTCACAGGAACAACCACAACCAGCACCCTCACCACAATCTCATTCTCTACAATCCCAAGACCAAGCCACATGTCTGACCTCCAAAGCACGACCGCCGCAAGTAAATGGACGTTGGGTATTGATCAGACGGGAGCTGGGAACTATGCGTGGTTGGGAATTGGATCTAATTGCACGCTTGGATCGTTTGGGAGAGCGACTGAGGAGACGACTATCGACCAAACGTATTGCCAGTATGTGGCGTTTCCGGGCGAGCAGGGAACGTCGGGACAGTATCGGCATACCTCAAAGCTGGGGACTGTTGAAGGTATGATATTGAGGCGAAATGTTTGGGTAGATTTGCATCTCATTCACCATCATCACAAATAGAACTTGACATCTGGGGTCGTGGTGGTAGTGCTCATCCCATCCGTAAGTTGTAACCCGTCCCTTAACCACCTTTTAGACTACTCTAACGCCATCTCTCTAGACATGCACGTCACTCATCTCCAGATTGTATCCTTTTACGACGCTTCAACGCAATCCTACAATGCCGCAAACAATCCATACGTCAAATACTATGGCCAGCTCGGTGACTGGAGGGATACAGTGCCTGCACTTCCTGGAAAGACAACGGTTCGGTACACGATGACTCGATATACTGGTGAAATCGTTGTGCATTGCGTATGTAGTTTTCGAGCATTACAGATCAAATCCTTCCACTTTCTAATGCACTCTCGTTTCTTCAATAGCATTTCTTAGCTCATGAAGGTACTTTATTCGTCAAACACGTTGCCTGGCAACTTGAACTCACAATCTCGTCTCGTCCACAGACACCGGCATGATGAGCACAATCTACGTCTCTCCAAACACTCAAGCATGCACATATCCTTCTACATGCTCTTCAAGTGGTGCATACAGTAGAATGAAAGCCTCCACGGTGCTGTTTGGCACATTCATTTTGACTTTGCTAGTGTTTTGATTTTCGTTGATTGGCAAGAGCTATGGCTGAAAGCTTTTGAATACTTTATATGTTGCCATTATGGAAGTTCATTGATGTAGCAGAAACCCATGTACACAAATCATATCATCACTTGCTTAGATGCAATTCCGTGACAAACACGTCGACAATCATGTAGTTCTTCAACACTTTTAGAAAATACAAATAGAGGTTCCATTCCTCACGTTCTAGCTCTCGCGTAATTTACATTGTTTCGGCAGCCTCCAGTCTTCACCACTTCAACACCAAAAATCACTCCTCAAGCAATTCACCACATACCATCATACCGATCGCCCCACACAACCAGCACCATCCTCCACCGTCCCATTCTCCAAATGTCCTCACAACCCGTCTTGCATCTGTATCGTGAGATTCGCAGGCTGCATAGAACACTTCCTCCAGGAATGCGGTTTCTCGGAAACAGCTATGTAAGTTTTCCCCATAAAAAAGGATAGATCTCTTTGGCTTTTACGTAAATTGTTGAATTGTTCCCTCGCTTTTGTAGTATTCTCAGTCGCAATCACTCGAAAACTGCCAACATTAACATATTTTGACAAACTTTTAGGTTCGTGATGAATTCAGGCGGCATCGCGACGCCGCACCTGAATACGTAGACAAATTCATACTCGAGGTAACAGCTCCTCCCTTCCTTCACGTCTTCACGTCTTCATTACTCAATGATCAACCACCCCATCACACAGTGGAAACAGTATCGCGACAACCTCGCTCGAGATCTCCCATCCATACACGCCGGCATAGCAGCCACAAACGCGCAACCCGTCAAAAATCTAGATAAAGGATTGCTAGATAACATGAGGTGTGTTTATTCGTCCATGTCTTTTTCGTCAAAAAACCACACGTTATTGAATTTTTTTACGGGACTAGTGATCAGCAGATTGGACAGCTGTATACACTACGAGAGACTGTGTCTGGACGCACGGTTATAGACGATGCGCTTATAGGAGCTGCTGATTCGAAAAAAGCGTGAAGGGCAAACAGCAATGACACGAAAGTGTACGTCCGGTGAAGTATCCTCATAGATTTGGAATAATTAGATAATGAAATATGAAATACATATTTTGCATTTTGACACGTCCCTTCGCACTTTTGACACGAAACAACCAAACTCAGCTAAGTACTACTTTTGTAATCACACCCAACTGATACATACAGCAACAAAATGGACACCCCCGAAAAGCCCTGCCGAGTCTGCACGACTACCACAACAAGTCTGCACGACTTCCAGACCCTCAAAAGCTCTGGCTTCGGTACATTATCATCCTCTCCCAAACCAGCATCAAAAACATCAAACAAACTCCCATGTCCACCAGACGGTCCCGCTCTCGGACGCGCGACATGGACCTTCCTGCACACGATGGCAGCCTACTATCCCGACTCGCCGTCCCAGGAACACCGTGGCAGAACAATATCATTCCTAAACTCGTTTTCGCATCTGTATCCGTGCGATCATTGTGCACAGCATTTGAGAAAGGAGATGGAGGTGCGGCCGCCTGATGTTAGTGGAAGGGTGGGACTGAGTAATTGGTTGTGTGTGGTGCATAATAAGGTTAATGAAGTGTTGGGGAAGGAGCAGTTTGATTGTAGGCGTGTGTTGGAGAGGTGGAGTGAAGGGCCGGCTGATGGATCTTGTGATTAATGAGTATAATAATGGAAGATTCGGGATAGATAGGAAATAGTATGCTGCCAGCTGGATAGAATCGCATAGTCAATCAGGGAATTAGGGAAAGATGACTACCATATATTTTATTTGCTTGCGCCGTATCAGAAGTGTTGTAATTATTGCATCGTGCTGTTTACATATCTATAGAATAACTGTATCCTTTAAATAAGACACCGTCTTCTCCTCTACTCTATTGCCTTTGGTCTATTTTTTGAATGAGCGCCTGGATCTTTGGGGAGACCGCATGCTGTGGGCCTTGTTGTGTGGGAGATTTGACATCTTTGACTCGACCTTGTTGTTCCTTTGCTCGTACAGTCTTGCTGACCTCTTCCTCTATAATGTGTTGGAAGATATGGTCACGTTGAATGACTAAAATCAGCAAAGCAACTTACCAAACAGAATCCTTGCACTTCGAGGCCTCTCTTCTCCACGTTTATGTTCTTCTCGACGTTCACGTCTACCTCGTTCTTCACGGCTCGGTTCTCGTTTCAGTTCATCCTCTTGTTTACCCTCACGGCTTCTTTGACTCGACTTGGCTCTTCGATCTCGACTCTTTTCTGAATGGTGGTGGTGATGATGAGATCGATGACCTCGAACATCTTCACGGGTCGTATCTGCGTTGTCCTGTTCATTTTCTCGAGTCTTTTCACGATCTTCTCTACCTTCTTTATCACGGCGCTCACGGCGTTCTCTATGCCTGCGTTCCCTGTCGGCGTCACTCTCCTGTCTATCTTCACGTCTATGACCAGATTCCTTGGGAGGTTTTGACTCATTGGAGACACCCTCAGCTGCCCGAGCGACTACTTTCGGTTCACGTCGATCCATGTCAGGCTTTCTAGCTTGTGGTGGTTGAGTATTTGTAGGCAGACGAGTGATGGGTTGAGCACTGACTGGCTTCGGTTGAGTATTATTTGGTAGACGAGTTATAGGTTGAGTATTATTGGCAGCTGGCATAGGTTGTGGTAATGGACGTGCGGGACGTATAGGACTCGAGGGTGGTCGATCAGCAGATTGTTGCGTAGAGCTACTAGCTTCATTGGCATTGGTGACCTTCGGTTGTTCAATATATGCACCTTCAGTTGTATATGTGCCTAGCATAACCGATTCCCGTGCAGGACTGAAGGCTCTTGATGTTCTATATCGCTGCTGTGGCGGAATTCCAGTCAAATAACGAGATCTCTCTGTAGCGGGCACATATGCAACAGGGGCTGCTGGACCTAAGCAAAATCGACATGTAATCGTTAGCTCGTCCCACTGAAGCACTATATGTTCCTGGTCCAAAGAAACGCTTTACAAACAAAAGAAAGCCATTTGGCTTAGAAACTCACCAAGTGTAGGAGCTTTTGGAATACGGGCAGAAGGACCAGCAGGACGTGGGAATCTATCTGGTGACAATTGGCGTGTTGGTGAAGCTGAGTGAGAGCCAGATTGCACAGGTGATTGATAACCATCATCGTCTCCTTCATCGTCACTCCAAGGAAGCACACGTCCACCAGGTGGAGGTGATTCTGGTCTCTTTGCACGAGTAGGCGATACTTGATTTCGGCGACTTCCTTCACCAGTAGTTCGATCAGGACTAACATCTTGGTCATCAATCATATTATATTGGAAAGGATGAAGGTTGGATGCAAGGTCAACGATTGGTGGTGGATTTACGGAAGCACCATGACAGACATCAATGGGTAATTCAATCATAATGTCCTTGCTATGAAATACAGTCTTGCGTCAGTGCACGCGCAATCGATAGAAGCTGTCGTGTACTTTCTCCATCTCAAAAAGAAGACGGATCGTGTCTAACGATGTACGCTCACCTGAGCATTCCCATGCTAATGATGACTTGAAGAGACACAGCAACTTCAGCCAAAGCTGTATTCGATACTGTTCTGACATATGGCTAGGTGTTTTGAGCGTATTAGACAACGAACCAATATGACAAAAGAATACACCTCCATGCATCTATCTTCAACAGCACTTACTGGAATGTGCACATGCAAGACGTTTGAGCGATCTTCACCAGGATCATATATATTGTCACGTTCACGGAAGATTGCTTCAGACACTGGCTCTGCAATAACCTTGGTATCGAGAGGTCCTCGTTTGTTGCTTTGACGAAGCATGACTAGCTTTCGAACGAGCTGGACCTTCAAACCTTGTACCTAATAGCAGCTGTGTTTGTGAGATGTCTCGAGTGAAATAAATCAATAGCAGCTGTGTTTGTGAGACGTCTGGCGTGCATATAAACTTCGTAATATCACAAACCACTCACTCTTCGACGAGTATCATTCTTGACACGAGTTTCAACATATACATCACTGCCAGACTGAAAGAAGCATTTACGAATAGCTCCTTGGAGAGTGACTTGACCGATTCCACCCATGAATAGTTGCCCAACAGTTTCGTCCGTGACTTCGATATCGACAATATTTGGATGAGTAGTCTTCCAGTTCTCAACTACAAAGGCGTCTTTTGACTTGAACATGGTCTCAATCTGGGAGTTTTCTTCGTATTGCACTACCCTGTTATATTTGAAGGAATGACGATACTTGTCCGATTCTCAAAATGGGAATAGAAAAACATACCCTGTAATGACGTATTTCAATGCTGCCATTGTTTGAAAGGTGAATGAGCTCGGCGAGTCTTCTGGTAGTCTGAAGGAGAAGGGGAATGTTGTTTTGCCCTTGTTGGCTTGCCAGAATCCATCTTCATTTGGACCTCGCACGGCGTTGGAAGGCGGTGTCCTAGGACCTTGGAATACGATATTCGAAGAGAGGAATGATTGACTAGAGGCCAGTTCCTTGTCATTTATTTCTAGTATAGGAGAGAAGATTGGTAAGTGCCACGTATCATGACCAGAATCACTTGATTCAGATAGATCCCCGTCTTGAATACATTAGCGACACTTCCAAAGTAGATTTGCAACAGGTTTTGATATTGATCTGTCTAGTTCTCGCCCACGATCATTCGGAGCTTTGACATACGACTTGCCTTCATATGCTTGTAGCTGGACCTCGATGAGCCCCATTCTGATTGATCTCGAAGTAGAGCAGGTCAATTCCAGTCTTCCATGTAGAGTTCCACCTGCGACAAATATTGTAGCATCCAACAAGACATTGATTTTCAATCTTCTTGATTTGCCCGGGTTTGTCGAGACGGGTTGGAAGTTGATGTTGGAAGTTGGCTTTAGCGGAACCGCCGCTATCTTTGGAATGCCAGATTTAGGTTGAGCCATCCTATTCACTTCTTCGTCGTTGGTTGATGATGCTGTTGTGGTTGTGTTGGTAATGGAAGGTGCAGGCTGCTGAGGACCAGCTGAGGTTTCCTTGGCTGCTGCCAGCATTTTGAGTACTATAATCTACGATCTAAAATATACAGGATGGTTAATCTTGTCGGGATCAAGCGTTGTAATAAGTTTCAACGACGAAACGCGACGAGTGACGAACCTCGATTTTACGAATTAGAGCGTGAGACCTTCAAAGAGAACGCGTCTTGATACTTCCTCCATTAGTAAAGCATTCAAACATCGCTATTCGCAGTTCAAAACGTGTCTTTTCCGTTCCGTCTTGGTAAAGTGTCTCGTCTAAACGTGAAAACGTGACCACTGAATGTAACGAGATTGGTCTATAGAGAATTTCGACGGGAACCACGGTGCCAGCGGCCATTTTCAGGTATCCAGTGGAATGTTTTTCATCTGGTATTGTTCGCCCAGTAATTTACAGCATCGTTTGATCGTAGAAATGGGCCACTCGCAAACCCGGCAAGTCGGTGAGAATGAAGAACAAGAGGTGCGACCTAATCAAATTGTTTTGATTTCAATCCACAAATGCGTATATCCAGTCCGGTTATTAACATGCGTCAATAATATTAGATCCATGAACACGTCGCAGCGCCCAAGAAGCCGACCAAAACTGCTGCTCAACAGTCTAAACCTCCCACAAAGTCTAAAAGTAATGCTAGTAGTAGCAGTAGCAGCAAGAACCTTATCAGTGGTGGTATCAAGAAACCCAAAACGCCGGAACACGTTGCTCCAAATTCTGGTGATGGTCTAATCGGTGATGAGACTGGCCAACGAAAGAGTAGCAGAAATCGGTTAGAGCCCTTAGAGTGGTGGAGAAACGAACATGTATTCTACGGCACTGTAGAATCTTGTAAGTGACGTGTCGTGGTTTTCCCTTGCGTTTATTGGAACTCTTCTGTAGATAGTCGCTGACTGGAAGTAAAGACGTCATTAGAGTACCCAAGATTGAACGACCTGAAATCCAACAGTCACGCAAAAAAAAGCTAAAGGTTGCTAAATCGTCTGCACCTAAAGACGATGTGGAACAAGGTGGTGGATCTTCGTCACGACCAGCTAAACGGCCGAAAACAACACACCTCCCGAACACTAAACCTATTGTTGTCCGTGCTTATGATTGTGTAAATGAGGCTGAAAAGCCGATCGGTAGGTGTCGCTTGTGTTTGCAAGTGTTGAGAGGGTGAACCCACCTCAAAAGAAAGCATTCACCCGCTCTTTCAGATTTTTGTTTGACCATCTGATCTGACTTTCAATTTTATGACACAGTGGTTGGAGTGAATCCTGGTTCTGTTGAAATGAGACCGGTACAGAACGCCAAGTTTCTGTTCAAGAAACTTTTCGAGGAGGGGCAATTCCAGGCAGCTGGTTTACTCGTCTTGCCACCAAACACCAGCAAGCCTTCCAAGAACTCTGAGAGTTCTACTATGTTGTTTACCGTCACGGATGGTGAAGTCGATGTGACTTTAAATGAGACACGATTCAAGGTTGTTGCTGGTGGTGTTTTTCATGTGCCCAGACGTGAGTTATGCAGCCCCTGATCAGCTTTTTTTGTTTCTCGCGCTCTAATTTCTCCTGCCCTTGAAAATCTAGAAAACCAGTTTTCAATCTTCAACCCACAAAATGATGAAGACGCACGAATGACATTTGTCATTTGTACAGAAGTCGTTGTTCCCATTCCTGTGGAGCCGACAGACAAGCGCAGCGATGAAGTTAAGGGTTCTGGCAAGGATGTTGATAAGGATACGGATGCTAGTGGTGCTGGTGCCAGTGGGTCAAGTAGCAAAACTAATAGCAACAAGTCTCAGAAGAGGAAGAAGACCAAGGGAGTTTGAGCAGGCACAACAATGGAATTAGTATGGCCATTTGTGTAGTTATACGTTACAGAAGTCTTTTCAGTAGTTGGTGCCTTTGTAAGGCAAATTTAATGTATATTCGTTAGTTCTCTGTATGTCTGAACAGTGTGTGGCCGTCGTGTGTTCATGTCGAAGTCTTATATTTACTGGTGCATAGTAGTCACAACCGTCAAGAAATATGAAAGCACACATTTACTGAAATTTTCGGCCACGAGAGAGGAAAGGGAGAATCAGACTCAGCAGTTCGGCGCAATGGTCAATGGTCTCGGCAAAGATGATGCTGTTCTCAAGTCGGGATTCCTTCTCCACCACAAGCAGAATGACCACAGACAACCATCTCTTTTGAAGAATCGATGGATTCATGTCTCAATTCTTGCAAATGGGTTTCTACAGCTTCGTGCATTCAATATTTTCAAGGTATGTCTGGGCTTTTTTCGTTGTCCTTCATACCAAGTACGCAATGCATCAGGAACATTAACTGACCAAACATCCCCTTTATTTAAAATAGCAAAGCGATGTCTTTTCTTACATTATTACTCGAGCTGAACTCACTGTTCAGAAGCTTACAATTGTCGCCTATCCTATTGGCTCATCTGGGCTTATTGAACTCCACCTCTCCCATACAAACACTACAAAATTGATCGAATGGGAAGCTGTCTTGAAAGCCGCTTTGGCAATTCAACAGCTCAAACGAATTTCAACTACCGAAGAGTCTGTGATTGTCCTCAGCAGAGAATTGGAGAAATGTGAAAAGGCTCGATCACAGTCAACTCTCGCTCAAGATGAGACTGATAAGCTCAACAAGGACCAAGTCTACTCTGCCGAAGAGGTTCATGTCATGTTTCAAGTAGTTGACCTCATGACTCCTATTTAAATGTCTCGTACTGTGTTTACAATGCTGAAAACTCTGTAGGATTCGACCAAGAAACTCATCAGTGAATCTGAGAAGGCCAAGGCACTTGAATATCGATTGAGCCAGCAAGTTAGCATGAATGAGGTCGGTATAAGCTTTGCCTGCTGATCATGCGTTCGCATGCTTGTTGATGGGACGAACCTGATTTGTATTTTTAGCAACTACAACGACAACTCAAGACAAAGATTGAACCTGCACTGGGTGAATACACTTCTCTCAAGTTGCAACACGAAGATTTATGGAAAAAGTATCTGTCGTCTGAGAGGAATGCCGCCTTGTTGAAGATCAAATATGGTGAGTAGTTTGAACTTTTCCAAGTTATGAGTTTACACACTCCGTCGCCCACTAAATATTATCAACTTTTGTTCGTAGAGAAAGAGGCCCAAGCTCACAAGGCATGTTTGGACTTTCCGAGAAATGCCGTTTACAAATTCGTCTCACCTCTGCAGTTTGCAAAACAGAGGCTTTCTCAACTCGTGCGTCGTCATACCCTGTCTACTCGCTTGTCTGATGAATCAGTAGCGTCGTTCCTCGACTCTGAAAAGGTTGAGACCGCCTTGGCTGAAACCAGGCAAATCACAACGCCAGAATCAGACATGAAGGCCTTTTATGGTAGCTCACCATCATCATCAGATGTGAAGTCTGCGAAGTCTGCAATCCCTTCACCTGAGAGTGAGCTGGGGCTTATGAGTCTCAGACTTGGCTGTATGTTTCACACTTGACTGTTTTAGGGTTTGTCACTGAACCACCCAATTCGCCAAGTTCGCTAGTGGAACCAGAAGAGCGTATTGCTATTCATAATCAAAATGCTAAAAAGCGTTTGGGTCGTGTTGTAAATTAGAATGCTAGGAAGTTGAAGCGTGTATTTGCGTAGTTTTCTTTGATTTGTGGCTAGATGTAAAGATGTCAGTTTTTATGGTTTGATCTCAAGGACTATAACAATTGAATAAAATTATCATTCTTCATCGTCATCCTGGTCGTCATCTTTGTGATCTGGATTGTGATCATACTTATTGAGAACTTTGTGTCGTCAGAAATGGGTTCCTGACAACATTGATTTCCTTTGAGCTCACCATTACGAAATGTAACATATGAGATCCGTCAATCTCTTATCGCAGGATACTATATCGCGGCTCCGTTCATCACTAGTAATTACGGATCTTGCTCAATGTGCAGTTGAGCTGGTTGGAAACTCTTTAGACGCAACAGCGACTGTAATTACCGTAACTGTTGACAGTCAAGACGGAGGCGTACCTACTCTAGAAGTCATAGATAATGGATCTGGCATTGATTCTGCCTCATTGAACTTGATTGGGCAACGTTATGGTTGGCACATTTGATGATGTTTGCATCTCAGATAACTCGAGGCTCATGTCACATTTGATACTTTAGCTACGTCTAAATGGAATCAAAATATTTATTCATCGACTTATGGATTTCGTGGAGAAGGTAAAGTAAACGTGTGTCGGTAGCTCCACGTCATAAGAAAAAAAGCTGAGCTTATATTCTACTTAGCGTTGGCTAGCATGGCCGAAGTTGCAGCCCTTGATGTGACTACCAAAATCGCAGGAGATTCTGCTCATCGAGTCGTCATGAAGGTACTCATGCAGTTGAAAGACTATTTAATGGAAATCTGACAAGGCCACGTTAGGATAATCAAGTCGCTCGTCGTGTACCAAACATCAATATCAAACACTCTGGAACTGTCGTTGTGCTACGCGACTTGTTTTACAAGTTTCCTGTCAGAAGGAGGAACATGATGTCTGGTGAAGATGTCATTGACACCATTCGACGAGCTCTGGAGCCAATAGCTTTGATTTCACCAGATGCAAATATAGTGCTCATTGATAAGACTAAAAACGTGACGGTACTAGCAAAGAGGAAGGTAACGCCGCTCATCTTGTTGTTTTATCTCATAGCGCCTGGTTGATTCCTTTCATTTAAATTTCAAGACAATATCGCCATTATCAGCTATTCGGCAAATTTTTGGACTGGACGCATCTAAAATGCAAGATTTTACGCTTTCAGATGGCCAGACTTCCATTTGTGGCTTCTTCTCCATCACAGGATTCCCTTCTAAGGTAGTCAAAAAAATATCCTCAGTTCATACGAATTCTAACTTCAAGATAATCCCTAGTACCACCAGTACGTGTATGTCAACAAACATTTGTTGGCACACTGCGAGATTCACAAAATTGTGAATCGGATGTTTGCCTCAAGTCGTTTCGTGAAACAGGCAAGTCACGTTCAACCTGTTATTGATGTACAATACCAACTGAATCTCAATTTGTCTCACAGACTGATGAAGAAAAGCCTTTTGAAACGCCATCGCCATCAGCATTGCCATCCAAGAAACGAGGTGTTGCAATCGGAAGAATTACAGAACGACATCCGATATTTATGATTCAAATTCAAGCTCCTTCAACCAGCTATGATACATTGTTTGATCCAACCAAAAATCAAGTGGCATTTCGGGTAAGCAGTGATCTCGTTTGTTGTCACTACTTTTAGTTGCCAGTTACTGTTTTCTAAGACCCCCTTTTAGGAACCCCAATCCGTCATGTCTTTGGTCGAAAGGGCAGTTATGGAGTTTCTGGTCTCCAACGACTTTGTTCACCGGCAGAGTTTCCGTGCTCAGACCAATGAACATAGCAAGGACACTTATCGATCCGCTACGTTTGAAGACGAACACCATGCATGTGATCCAATCGGAATGCAGACATTTGAGGATGTCATTGCTGTCAAGGCAGCCAAATCCACATCTTTTGATCATGATTTTGCTGGTGATAAGAATGGATTCCAGAATGACAGTGTCGTGATTGGTGAATTCTGTGGAGTTGATTCAGCAGAGTTTGAAGTGCATCAAGATTTAAAGTCGATGAAGACGTTCTTCATTGACAAACGCACTGGAAATTCGTGAGTTCATGTGTATCTATTATCGCAGCGTCGTTTTTTGATGACGGAAACCAACCATCTTTGCTGCCGCAGATATCACGACATTCCTGGTGCAGAATCGAGCAAAACTACCAGCACTGGATTTGTGAATAGAAATGGCCTAAAGGCTAACAAGGAAGGTCGAGAGGTGTTTACGACTGGATCTCTATGGGCTCAAGATACTCTAAAGGTAAGCATTTCTGCAGCTTGATTGTTTTTGCTGTCCCCTATCTCACACCTTGCAACATAAATTTTGTAGAAATGGGACAATCCGGTGTTTGGAATGGCCGAAAAGCCGTTTAGTGATTCTGAACTTGTAACTGGAAACACTACTCAAACTACTCTCAAGTTTTGGGAGCAAGCAAAATACCTATTTAGCAGCCAAAATATTGAGCCTGAGAGTCTGTCCAAGATCGACATTTGTCATATGCAGGTCATGGGACAGATCGACTGTAAATTTATCGCTGCTCGCCTTAAACGACGAAACGAGTCTCACAGCTCGATCGTAATCATTGATCAACACGCAGCAGATGAGAGAATACGCGTTGAACAGCTGCTCTTAGAATTTGAACCAAATTCATCAGTCACTACGATAGTACTTGATCCACCGATACGAATATCTCTAGCTCCTCGAGAAGCACAAGCAGCTCAAAGGCATGCCAAAGTGTTTGAACGATGGGGAATCAGTTTTGAAGTTGGATTTATAGATTTCAATGCACCATCAGAGTTGTGCTCCATCCCCATCACGTCACTACCACAAGCCGTAGCGGATCGGTGTGTTGCTGATACACGGGTCGCTAGAGACTTGATACGACAACACTTGCTGTCTTTGGAGGAAGTACGGACTGTAGGATGTCCTCGTGGTATCTTGGATATATTGAATTCAAAAGCTTGTCGTGGTGCCATCATGTTTGGACAGGAGTTAAGTCTACGAGAGTGCAATCAGCTATTGGAGCGGTTGAGTGAATGCCGAGTAAGCTCATGTGGTGATTTTTGAGGATGGCAGATCAGTCGTTGCTAAATATTTCTGGATTTTCCTAGTTTCCCTTCCAATGTGCACATGGCAGGCCTTCCATGATTCCTATTGTACAGCTAGAGAAACCCGCTTCGAACACGAGTATATATGCCAGAAGGCCTCAAATTTCATTGCAGTCACTTGTATCATAGATTGTATGTAACCCGCATTGAATTTTCACTTACACAACAAATAAAACACCAATATAACTTTATAGCACTTGAATCATTGTAAAAATACGTGAAAAACGCGTTCATCTCGCGGTTTCCGCATGTTTCGAGTTTCACTGCCATTCACTGCCATCATGACTTCGCTCATCGTGTTCTCACACCACAACCACACTCTTCACTACAACAGGCAACAAGTTCTGGCAGCATCTCGACGAGCAAGGACGGTTTGATGCATCATCCAGAACGGATTTACAATGATACCATTGAAACAAGAACTGTATCTTGCTAGAGGGGGGCAAACAATCTTGTAATGAAATATTTGCTTCGCATTTCCATAATGAACTTGTCTTGCTGTGCTGGCAAGGACATGCCATTCAATATTCTATACATCACCGAGACTCTCGGCACATCCACGACATACCTGGAACGACACCAGATCTACGAAGTGAGGCCAAATTGTTATTTGGCGGAATCTCTACCCTAGATAGATACCCAACTCCTGTTATTACTCTGAAGAGTAGTTTGCATCTTACCACATCATCTGGCTACCTACATACAAGACAAGCGGTTGCTCGCTCTTGTCTTCGAATGTGTCTGGCATAATTGTATCTACTTTTTTTCACCTCCCCTGCACAAGTGTTGAGGGTTCCTTCACACCAATTGGCACCAGACAGAGTCGACTTGGATGCCACGCAAAGATCGTCTTTTGCCCTCACTATCCACAAGTACTGTGGTTTTGATGAATGGTCCAATGTTGAAATGGTAGTCCAAGAAGGATGCAAACCAAACCTCTTCCACATGGTGTGGGGGTCCTTTTGGGTAAAAGTAGTCTCCATGGTGCAATACAGCCAAGAGTATGTGACATGCCATCTTTTTGATGGTGTGGGGTTTAGATCCAGGATGTTCCCCCTACTTTGCACAAATTCATAATTTGTGTAGAGTAAAACCCCAGCATTTTCTTGCTCGATTTATCTGGGTTACCAATGTTAAAAAGAGCTCAGGTCGTGTCGTCTTTTTTTCCTTGTACTTGTTTTGTGTGGTGTGAATTCTCATTCGAAAAGAGGTTTGATGTATGGATGAATGTTGTGTGTCAAAGGGCATTGTGAATGTGTGTTCTGCCCCTTCTTATGATGGTTTCTGTTGTATTTCGGTTTTATTATGTGTATGCTCTCTAAACAATGAGAGATACTCGGCACATCAAACGTGTTGTGGATGTATGAGCAGAGCTGGATCTTGTGCACAGATAAGAAATCCAAGCTTGGTTGTAGACGCCTATACATGGATTGTTGCATCACCATGTCGCTGATTTGCACTTCCTCACTCACGAGTGTGAAACGTGGTGTTTGAGGGAAACAAATCAAGAACAAGAACATGAAGCATTTCTGAGTTGAGAACTCGTAGCCCCACAACAACTTTACATGCTGAACATTTTTACAATTCGATTGGATCAAAACATGGCTGCACTGGGAATTGGTCTTACCATTCGATGACCCTGGTGGTGTATTCCACTGGGTCAGAGGTTTGCCCTCGCCATTGAAAAAGACATGTTTTTGACAAAACAATTCTTCATGTTTGCGCCGGACGATCAGTTGTTTTGTAATCTTGTCTTCGTTCAAGTGGTCCGTGGTGTTCTCATCTTGTTTGCTTTATTGAAGCTTGTTTTTTGCGAGCATGGAGGTGTCTGTCCATGTGGTGTTTCCCTTGTTTTTGGGTTTTGAATGTGCTTTGGAGAGTTGTTTAAAGATCTTGTTGATCAAAACCTGTTGTTGTGACTTATTGTGAGAATGAAATTCACACACCATTTTTACCTCCCGGCTCTGTTAGCTCGAACGATCTGGAATAAGCTGGCTCATTGAGATGTAGTCATTTCACATCGTTTAGTAGTTATTCAGTGTCGCAAGGTTGTAAGATTGTGCGGTGAAGTTTGATTTATTGATGCAAGATTTCGTGTTTTGCAAGTAAAGTACAAGACTAAAAAAATTACTAGAGGTGACCTTTCTATTCGAAGCCACCACGAGTACCACCACCCAACCCTTTGGTTGCAGACTGCTGAGTCTTGCGCTGCTGTTCAAGTTTGGGACCAAATGAAAGGTTTTGGCTAAACCCAAATACGATACCAAACACAGATTTCACGAATTAGCTTACAGTTGGAAATACGATGACCCAAACCACCACAATTTGTACACTCCACATCAGCACCGGCAACACCTTCAAATGGATCTTCGAGTGCTTCTAGGACAGTAGGCACACGTTGTTTGGCTTCTTTAGCCAAGTGCTTCGAATCCATCACATTCAAGGTCATGACTAAAGACTCTATTCCACCCTTGAGTTAGCTCTGGTTATCACGGAATCACCATTAAGTCTCATATTAGCTCGTCTCATGGCTGAATCCGTGACAAAAGGCACCTAATAGCTCTATGTCACAATCACCACTCGAAATACCTGAACGATCTACAAGCTCTCGGTAAACGTAGTCGCTGAATTTCTTTATTGCATACCAACTGACACTTCGCATGCATTACAGGTCTGGAAACTGTACACGTCACGCCACGGACCCATCAGTTGTGATAAATCCACCACCATACCCATCAAGGTCTGTTGAATTGATGACGTCTTTGCTGTTCGAGGCACGTAAACGTCATGCTTGCAATATATTCTTGCCGATAAGGCTGGACAATGTATTCTCTACGCATCTTGTGCCGGCTCTATGGAGACCAGCACATATCGTATACCTACTGCTGCTTGGCCTATACCTGTAACTGCATGTAAATATTTGGACAAACAATGCCATTGGTATTTAAGTGGATTCTATAAGGTCCTGTTTTGTCCACGTTAGACAAACGTGAACTCGAAGGGCACGCAAATCTTGAGTGAATACTGCACTACATCGAATTGATGTCAATATTAATGTTATATAAGACGCCGCTACGTACAGTCCAAACATCCACATCCTCCAACACAACAATCCTATTTCTTTCCCTCCTGAAAACGGTTCCAAGACACCGCAACACCCTGCTCAACAGAATAAAACGGCTCATATCCCAAAACCTTCCGTGCTCGTTGGGACGAAAAGCAATGCTGACTCCATTGCATACGGTCACTGCAAGCCGTAAACATGTCCAAGTCGCCCAAAGACGTCGACGTGTATCGAGATGTGAAGGTAGCAAGCCTGCTCAAGACGTACATGAGAGGGTATGGCATGGTTTCACGAGAGAATCGATTTGGTAGCAATTTCTACGAAAAGAGTTGGAGTCGGAATCTCGAAGAGTACAGACTTTATGAAGAGGTCATTACCTCCAGAATGGCAAAGAAATTCTCTCGGCTGAGTGGGTCGTCGTGAGATATGAAGTAGGCTAAAAATAGGGTGAGGCGAAAATAGGCTTTCAGTCAGTCTGCTCCATATTTGTTGGATTGGGCCTACCTTTTCCACCAGATTCTTTGGGCTTTTCTCGTAATGCACGTTCCAATCTACACAAAATAAGATCAGGTGAGAATTCAAACATAAAACAACTCTGGTTTAGCAAGTCTTACAGCAAATGAGCCAATGCAAGATTCTCAACATAGCAAAAGTCGTCCACGACTCCAGGATGGTGTATTGTTAATTTTCCAGTAGAAAAGTACGTATCAAGGCCCCAGCGATCTCCTCTGCCATAGATCGTCGAAGTTGGGCGGATGCTGCCGGTTGACAGGACACCTCCATTGCTCAAAGCTGTTCCGTTTGCAGCCAATGTAGCCTATGTTACTGACAGTTGAGATCCAGCTGGGATGAAACATTGGGTCAATACTATACCTGTTCAGCCAATGCTTTCGTTTTAGCATAATTATTGAATGGTTTCGTGGTGTAAGGCAGATTCCTACAGACGTGAAAAGAAATTGATGGTGCTGAATTGAAGTCTGCAAATAACAACAAAGCAATGTCTTTGACGACATACTCATTTCCATAGAAGATCGGATTCAAATCCTTTCCAACACACACATGTGAAGTTGATGTTTGCACTAGTATAGGTATCGACAATTCACGACACGCTTCAATAACATTCTCTGTCCCCTTCACATTGACCTTCATCGACACGGGCAACTGCTCCGGAAACTCATCCATGAAGCGTATGATGGCCGCTACATGATATACGACCTGAATAGAGCGGTTATCGAGTGCCTTCTTGACTGATCCGTAATCGGTAATGTCGCACTCGACAAATTGAGTCCCTTTGGGAATGTTGTTGGAAGGTTTCAAGTCCAAGACGTAGACGTGCTTTTCACCACGAGCTAAGAGCTGCTCAACGATACTAAATGGAAGAGATAGAGCAACAAAGACTGTCAGCTGTTTGTTCAAACACAATCTCTGCGTGCCAACACTCACTAAGCTCCTATGAAGCCAGCACCACCAGTTACAGCATATCCGACGTTAGTGGGAGCACCGAGCAGTTTTATAAAGTCTTCTCGAGGCGGTAGAGCAAAACAATCCTTGTCTAATGGCCTGGGAACGATAGTCACGGCGAACAGAGATTTGTTGTAGAGATGCAAGCTCAGAGCTGTTGCGGTCGTAGCAGCACCAATTCCAAGAGCGATATACTTTAGCGAAGAGGAATCCATGATATTCGTAGTGGTTTTTTTGGTCGGTTGGGCTTCAAGGTATGCACAGTCTTGGGCAAAAGCTACGTTTACGGTAGAGAACAGGATATCAGTTAGACTTTGAAACGAACGAACTTCAATAAGCTTTGAGCTGTGAACGAAAGAGCATTACTTGGGTTGGTTTGTGCCTACACCGAGTCGCTTGTCGCGTGGTAATTTGTAGTTCTGTGAATTGTTACCACAACATTTTCAGCCAGATTTGCAGTCACCGAGTCGCGTAAAAGTGAAGGAGCAAGTACGCGTCAAATAATGATTACATGACATTTATGGTCTTGAACGTAGGTGACCGGTATCTAGATTGCTGTTATATTTGACTGTCAAGTTGAAAATATGGTGTTCTGAATAAAGAAGTTTTGTATTTATCAGGAGATGGATCAGGTTATGTAATGTATTCTGCGTAAGGAATTCCACTTCAAATCTAGAATCCGTACCTAGGATATCTTGGTCACTGGACACTACACCTTTATATGTCTATATGGCCATCACCACCATCCACACCGAGAGTAGGTCCAAAAACCAAGCCACTGGCTGTACCACTCGCTCACCACCACAATTCCCTGCTCACAAAGAACCAATATCCACGTTGTCCACACTCCAAGATTGCGGGACGATATTCTCCACTAGCGATGGATGCAGCATCCCCACCAAATAAGTATGGTAATGGAGCCATGATGCTGAACGAGCCTCCCAAAGCATTCCGGCCTTCAGAAGACAGTACAGTGTATAGTAGCAGGCCGTCATCTATCATCGACGTTCCTCTCCATGGCCTGAAACGAGTAAGCGAGCCTGTACTGGTGCTCTTTTGCATTACAACCACCGACTCACATCGCATGTATTAGCCACTTCACAAACCACCAAAACGAGGAATATCTGTATCAGATACCTTGTTTTCATTGTCAGATTTACTTCCTTTGGGTCTAATTGGAGGGAAACCGCCAGGCAGCAATACTACGCGACGACTCAATCCAAGTGGTGGCTCGTATATCAAACAGTTCGAGTTGCTGAAAACAAACCCACTATGGATGGCTGCTAATGATGGGAACCTGCCTCTGATGCAACAAATACTGGAGGCTGATCCTTCGCAGATAAATCAGAAAGGTGGGTGGCATTGGCCTCTATTAGAACGTGATGTCAAAACGCCAAACACAATTATAATGTTAGGCGCTGAAGGAGAGTCTGTTTTGCATGTGTGCTTGCTACGTGGCACACCCCAGCATTTGGAGGTAGCAAGTTATTTGATACGGAAATTCAAGAGGCAGATTGTGAATGAAGTGTATGGAGGTACGCCAATTTGTCGATACTTTATGCCAACATCCTGCTGATACACAGACATTTAGGTGTCTGGTATACTGGTGAAACTGCGAGCCATCTTGCTGTAATGCTGCCTGATAAGCCTACTGCAAAGTTTTATTTGAAATTGTTGATTCAAAATGGTGCTGAGTTGGACAAGTTCCGTGTGACGGGCAGGTATATAACAACTTCGTGCTCTTCGCGTCCTTCGTATTCTCATAACGATTTTGTCATTGCTAAAGATTCTTTGAGAAAGACGGTGGAAGTCTATACTTTGGAGGCAAGACGTTTGTTTTAAATCTCCTCACATGAAATTCGCGATTGACATCAATCTTTAATAGATTCTGTCTTGTCGTTTGCTGCCTGCACTCATAAACTAGAAATCGTTAAGTTACTGGTAACTGGTGCGACCGACTCTGACGGATTCAAATGGCCACAACTCTCTATAAATGGAACTATCGACTCTTATGGTATGACCACAGTCCTCATCTTGTTTCCATGTGAATTTGTTGACGAGAAATATTAGGAAATTCAATATTACACTTACTGGCATTCTGGAACATGCCATCAATGTACACCGAAGTCGAAAATCTAGGAGGAAATCATGAATTGAGGAATTTCAAAGGCCATACGCCATTCCTAGTGGCTGTTGAGCAAAGACATCGCAAGTTTGTGGATGAGTACATCAAGGTACGCATGCCGCTAAATCGTACTTGTCACACTACCCTAAGGTGCTTACCTTTTTTTTGGCACGATTTCAGCTAAGATCAGAGATATTTTGGAAGTTTGGGCCAGTGACGGCAACGTGGTATGATATTGAAGAAATTGACTCGTTGGCTTCGAATGAGTACGAGTCTGCTTTGGAGATTGCTGCACGGAATGAGGATGATGAGATGATGGCGCAGGATTTGTTTAAGGCTGTGCTTGAGGTTAAGTGGATTATATGTGAGTTTAGAGCTTCGTGTTTCTGAAGATGGATGCTAGATGATTTGACACGTCACCACTCGTAGTTGGCTGGGGAATGTACATCCGAAGGTTTATCGTGACATTTTTGTATATGTTTATTTTGTCTCTGGTCATTCAATGGTATGTCGCTAGTACACAACGTACAAATGAATTCAATCGTTGACTGATCATACTAAACAGGTTACCCTACAACCAATCTGATCGACTGGTAAATCAAAAGCTTCAGTTGCTACTTACATATATTTGTTGTTGACACTTCTGAATTTAGGACTATGGCGGTCCAAATGGAAACGGCTGGTTCCGTGCTCCGCTAGAGATCATCGTCATCGTGGGAGCCGCAATACAAATGATGTTTGAGATCAAGGACATACTCGCAAACGGGATTAAGTACCTTAGTGGGTTTGGTGGACAGAGAAATGCAACGCAGGTAGGCAAATTGTCTTTGAAATCGTAAGGGAATTTGTAATAATTGACCAACGACTTTTCCCTCTCCCAACAGTTTTCATTTTGTGCTCTGATATTCGCAGCACTCATACTGCGGTTTGTTCAGGTGAGCTTTAATGAACGAGCACTGGGAGGAAACCCTGGTTGCCTTCTCACCACAGTTTTTTGTATTTCAGCCTGCTGATGGCAATGCGAATTCGAATGATGGTGTGAATGGAGCCGCAGAGAGTGCAGTCCTCGCGTTAGCTGCTTTAATCGGATGGATATACCTGCTTTCGTTTGCTCGTGGTTCTCGCTCGTTCGGTCCCTTATGGCTCGTATTCTCGTCCACCTTGACGACCGATGTCGTGAAATGGCTCATACTGTTTGGTTGTTTCTCGTTTTCCTTTGCACAGGTACGGAAACTCCGTAAGTGGTTCACTTTGGAAAGCAATTAATAATTTCTTTTTGTAGGCGTTCTATCTGCTTATGCAAAATACTGGCGTAGACGATTGGTCAACGCTGGGTGGTGCTGTTGTTTGGACGATTCGGTAAAGTGACGCTGCTGCCGTCTTGGTTGAAATCCATTGCTAATTTCCAAATCTAGAATTCTCTTTGGGCAAGGATCGTATGATGATTTCAGGTCCTCGAGAATACCGACGCTGGGCGCAATTCTGTTCCTAACATATGCTGCCGCGACGACCATCTTGCTGGTCAACGTGTTGATCGCAATGCTTTCGGTCACATTTGGTTTGATCCAGGGTATTTCTTAGCTTTAGTCAACAACCGAAGTCCTGCTGTGTTGCTAACATACTTTATTAGGCTCGGCTGAAACCAAATGGCGATTACAATGGACACAATTGCTGTTGGACTTGGAAGCTGGTCTTACTGACGGCCAAAAGAGGAAGATAAAGGAAGTGTTGGGTATTGAGATTAACAAGAAGCGCAAGCTGCTGTATGAGAGATACGACTCGGAAGACAGGCCCGTGAAGGTAATCTTTACCAGATCTGCCACTTCTGACGGATTCTTCTGTCCCAGGCATTCAACATCGAAGGCACTAAAGTTGGACGATATGGCGACTGGAGAATAATATTTTGGCTTGATATATAATATGATCTCGAATGTTGATGACTGGGATCGTTAATTTCATAGTTCATCGCGGAGATTCAAGGATGCGGCCTCTAGCTTCTTGCGCGTCATTTTTCCTGCTATTTTCCAACGTCAAAACTCAACAGAGAATCCAAACTACTTGGAACAAGATGGAACGGTCAAAGTAGACACTGCATCAGTCATTAACCTGGAACAGACTGCGATCTGCACTGCCATACTCAAGATGGACGAACAGCTCGTTGCAAAACTGGGTATGTTGGTCAAAAGTTGTTTTTCATAACGGCTGCTGTTTCGGATTCAGAAGCGACGTTTTCAGTGCGAAATTAATTAATTTTTGATGCATATTATAGGCCATTCATTAGAAGAAGTTCGCAGTCGGGTAAGCTGGAGACCAACCATTGCCCAACATTAAATCATGTTGACCAACTTGGACATTTTACAACTCTTTCAGGCTTGGGCTGCCGTATCTTTCAAACTGTCGACTAGTGTCATTACTATTGGTATGAGTCTTGCTCAGATCTGTAAGCACAGAAGCTGACTCGCCTCTCGACTTTAGCGGATCTGGTGCATCATGTTGATTTCCTGTATCAGTTGCTTAACTGGTTTAACCGCGATGCGCCCTCTCAACCAAACAAGATTGAGGAAATGCTTAAACTCACTCTTTCTCTCGTTCGGGTGAGTGTGTGTTTGTGTCGCTCATCACCTTCCACCAAATCGTTGACTACTTTTCAAACAAACAGCATCCGGGAGGAAAGACGAAGATAAATTCTATAGGCGGAGTCTTGTTCTTCAAAAGTCTAAGAAATTCGCTGCCAACTAGTCTCCCAGAATGCCAGCGTTTGGCCGACGATATTGTAGAGACCTTGCTTCATTTTGATTTGAACTCGCCGGGTCAGAACACGCATCGGTCACAGATGCCCTGGGCTGGTTCCAGAGATGATAATGAGCGGATGAGGACTAGAGGTGCGATATCGCCCGTCAATCAACAACATAACCAGTATAGGTTTCCGAACGCTGCAGATCAGCCGTTTCGACAAGAAGCGCGAGCTCGTTCAAGGTCTCCGGAACGTATGTCGAGATCTGTTTCGCCCATGAAAGGTTTGTTTAGTGTGGTTGGATTTGATCAGACTTTCATAGGTTAATCAAGTTTTGGATTTATAGTGCCTCAGATCGTACCACCCTATTTACCAAACGCCATTTCGACATATGAAATCCTGCATTTATCTCCACATGACGAGAGCCTGGTTAGCCACTTTTGCACTCTCATGTCAGCTACTGTGAACGATACTGGAGAGGAGGCTAGGCTCTTCAATGTACTTAAGATTGACTTTGGGGCTCAGATCTTTCTACAGCGTTCTCAACTATTTCGAGTAAGGATCTATTACACATCTCAAATTCAGAATTGCATGAACTGATACAGAACTTGTTTTAGGCCGTCATGAATGGTGTGTTTGCAGATATTGAAGGCAGGCCCGAAAGATCATGGATATATTTAGAAGAGCTCGTGCGCGACTGGGGCAAAAGTCTTCGTAGGTTTACAGATACTATAATAGTACACACTTCTGCTACGCCCATGAATGCCACACCGAATGTATCGATGACAGGTGGAACTCTGCCAGAAACTCGACCAGCTATATCAGACTATGCGGTATCGCTACCCTTCGCATGCCACGAAATCTACCTACGACTCGTACCGCTCTTACGAGATCCGACTGCAATGCCGAGAGCCTTGCGCATCTTGTACGGTGTGCTTCCCTTCCTACGAATACAAATCGACGTCATCCTCAGCAAAGGATGGGGTGGTCCAGACACGCCTCCGCCATCAGCCGTAGTAGCACATTATGCATCGTTTGCAGTCGAAGTCATTGGATATCATGGTCTCCATTCAGAAATAGAGTCGCCAGATGACAATGGACATACAAGGTTGCTGACTCAAGAACACACAATTGCATTCTGCTTTGATGCTGTATGTGCTCTCGCTCCGATGGATATGGTGAGACACCCGTCGTGTTGAGAGCGATCATTCGTTGAAAAGTAATGGATTTTTTTGTTCATAGGAGGAGCGGAATCAATTATTGTGGACATGTATGTTGCAGATATTTGATCTTCCAGGGTCGAATTCCGTGCCATCTACAATTGTTCGGGCGCTTTTGTCAGCTGACACCATCTTGATTGACCTTTTGACGTGTCTTCTGACCTATCCACAAATGTGGGTGAGACTGGCAACCTACGAAGTTCTAGTTGAAAGCCCAGAAATCACAAATACAGCCTTGAGTGAAGCTGATGGGGGACTGTTTGTGATGATTGTCGAGAGGGGGCTTCGAGATGAATCAGGACAGGTAATTTCAGCACACTTGTCGGATACGTTGGGACTTTTGTACTGAATTGCAAGTATAGGTTCAGCAGTTGGCATACAATGTGATTACAGAATATCTTGGCTCTAGTCCAAATATAGCCACAGTCAAAAGTGCCATACCATTATTCCAAGCCTATGCCGATTTGGACGATGGACATCTTCTACAGACCGTCTTGTCACTGCTCCAGAATGACTTGACACCATCCGAGAAATGTATCATGTATATTAGAGGGCTTTTGCATCGAAACGACGTGTAAGTTATTGTATTATTTTGGAAGCGAAGTGCACTTTTCAACTACTTAACGTTCTGTCTCCTCCAGATGTCGAAAGGCCTCGTTTGAGGGATTCAGGAATGCTTTACCCTTGACGACGGTTATCGAATCGGCGTTAGATGGCCCAAATGTATTTATATTTTCAACGACAGCAATATCCTCCTTTCAGGTGGAGCAAGACCATATTCCACAGGTAAATTAGTTTCACAGAACCTTGAAGATTCGCGAAGATTCACTCAAAGGTGGGGTTTAGGATGTGGATCTAGAAGGAAGACTAGCTGCATTGCGTAATCATAGTGTTGACTCATCGTTGAAGACGTCTGCTTTAGCAGATCTAGTCTCTGTCATTACCTGTGAGTTCAGATTCTAAGCTTTGTCCCATAATCCATATCTCATCCATTTCTTTCCTAAGCAAAAGCCATAATGAGTAGAGCTATACAGCTAGGGTTGCTGCAAGTCATTCTGCAGCTACTCAAAAATCCGGGAATGACATGGATTTGGGAAGATGGGAATTTGATCAATGCTTTGACAGTCATTCGGACCTTTGTCGAACACGATGACCAAGCCTGTGACATTATTCAAGGCGATGTCGATTTCTTGACATTATTATCTTCATGTCGGTAATTTTTTGTTCTGTATGGAAGTGCCTTAGCCTGACACGTTTTTGACCTGTAGTGATGTTCTCGCCACTACCAAACATTCGCTACGAGTTATCCAGAATTTTTTTCTCGGCTCTTTGCTGTGCGCGAGTCTTTCGATCTCTTGGCACCATACATAACGACCTTCAGTCACCAGGAAGGTCAATATCGCATCGACGTATACCACAAGCATTATCCCTCAACTTTCTATCGTATGGTCACGTCTCTCATATACCCGATCCATTCTACGATCTCGTTCCAAACCCATTGGATGCACGAGGATCGTCATTGTTGTGGTCTGTCATGAAAGGTGAAATGCAGTCCAAAAATACAAATGAAGCAACTGGTTTCTGACACTTCCATTTGGTAGATTATCGACAGTTTGCTACTTCAGTGTCAAGCTTGGATTCACGGCACACGCCAACTAGCCCGTTTCAAAATTTTGTATCTGAGGGCTGTCGCAGATTACAGGCCGCCTCTTCTCATCTGGAGTTCCAGAGAGCACTCCAAGTCATGTCTAATAATTGTATGTGTGAGACAGATTGGCTGATGGTGTCGTCTCAAAATCTTGCTGGTGTGCTCGGAAGGTAAGAAGTTTGAGTCTACTCCGTAGTCGAGATGTCTTCCCATTCAACCACATCAACTATTTAGGTTTTTGATGACTCCTCCAGCGAGTCCAGAGGATGCCAATGTATTGGGAAGCATTCTTGATTTCCTGGCCTCAATGGCAGGTACATCGACACTACCAGATGCCCTGTTTCCCACTCTGATCTCGTCAATACGTCGTGTCCTCTTGTTTGTACTTGAACGAGGATCACGAGAAGACGTAGGCAGTACCATAAATTGGAGAGATTTAAGTGCTTCTATCGCTGGATTCTTGAGCTGGTTTTTGGTTGATTTGCCTGAAAATGAATTGGTCGGCTTGATATCGAGCTCTTCAATAGTCTCAGGTTTGATGTCCTTTAACATGTACTTTGCAATTGACGCTTTTCTAATTATGAGCTCAAAATTAGTATTGGTAAATTACGCAAGTAGACTGTTTTTACACAAACAGATTACAAGATTGTCTCCAGCCATCCACCGGGATACTTTGACTTGCCTCATCACCGTGACTTCATTACCGTCGCTAGCATTCTCACTGTCTGGGACCGTCGTAGCCAACGCAATACGTGTATTGGTGTCGTATATTGCCCTAGTGCAACACGAAGGAACAGATTGGAGCGATGAAGAAGCTCTGAATGGCAATAGAGCCAACGGAAACATTTTCACATACTGTGGGAGGAACGCCTATCAGCTCGCTGCAGTCGGTCTTCGTAATCTGTCTCGAATAGCTGTCGAGACACGGGATACAGAGCAAACGTGGGTTTGGGGTGAACATTGGCTGGTTCAGGACGATATACAATGGTAAATATTTCGTCCTGTCTTTTGGTCTGTGTACACTCTTTCAAACACTTTTGCGAAATGCCGTTTCTTAGGCTCATGACACTGCTGAACGACGATGAAAAAACCATGCAGAAAGTCGGGCTCGGCATTCTTGGGAACCTAATACTGGTCAAAGGAAGCTATCAGTATCTTTGCATAAAGATACCTCAATTCCTGGACATGGCATTTGCCTACATTTTGGATTTCGAACGAGTCGAGTCCATTCGTAAAGAGGCATTCTTGGTCATCAACAACTTTATAATAACATTTTGTGTTGATAACAAGCTAAAGGGTGGTAGTATGGAAACTGATGAGTCGTCTATAGACCAGGATGTAATTGATTTGAACAATATCGTGGGAAACGGTAACGGGAAGATAGGACCTGACCCAACTTCCGAGTTGCTGAAAATATTTGATCATTGTGGATTCTTTGACAAGCTCAGAGACGTCTTGTCAGAGCCACCACGAGCTGCTGTCGCCTATAGAACAGCAGTATCCGAAATACTCGTAAATCTGTTGCTGATAAACCCAGACGCATTAAGGTCAAGACTAGCACTTCAATCTGCATGGCCTACAATAATCGATTACCTGGCTCCTGCATATGAAGCACGTGAGCCAGATGAAGACGATGAGCCAGATTCATCTATATCATATCAGCTCTTCAGAAGACGACAATTCACCTCCATCAATGGGACAGCCATTGATAATATGAGGTGTACAGTCTTGCAGTGTGTACGTCTAGCTTGTTTTGGAGATGCAGAGACACGACGAGTATTGGTTTCTACAACAGACGCCATTACTGTACTAGTCTTCATGATTGACGAGCTGTGGAGCACTCTGGAATCATCTACTACCAAGTCCAACAATCAGGCTACTTGGTATGCTCTTCGAATGTCGGCTCTATCACTGTCAGATTTGTTGTGGGACGCGTGTGCCCATGACAAGGCTGGGTTGGAAGGACTGCTGAGTGGTTCCAGCGCTTCTAGACCAGCTATAGTAACCAGAATATTAGCTGCATCTTTGGCTCTCGTCCGTCGTAAAACAGATGCTACTTCGGTTTCAGCTGGAGTCCAACTGCTGGGTCGAATCTTGTCAATGCATTGTGGCGAGGTGGCTGATATTGGTGTTGATTTAGCTTTGAAGCAAGATTGTCAACCTGGACGAGCTAACAAAGGAATATTGGGACCGGAACTGTGCCATGAAGTATTCATTTTCAGACTGGTGCTTTTGATTGCAGCTGCTTTCTGACGAACCATGCTTTTTAGCTCATGACGATCATAATTGAAGAGTATGAGACGTCATCGCCAGGACATATCGAAAGCGCACGTATTGCTTTGCAATGTCTTATGGGTCGCTGTGAAGTTGCTAAAATTCATGCCATTCAAGGTATCATTTTGTGTGAATCGCTTCATGTAAAGCCGCTATGCGCATACTGAATCGGTCATTTTTCAGCCAACTTTTCGGAAATGATTATAAGCAGAATGAACATTGTTAGATCAGCGGTGAGTCTTGTCTCCCGTCTCAGACAATTTCTGGCACCTCATCTCACTCGAAAAACATTAGAATCGGATTGACGAATCACATCAAATGGAGCTCTTCACTTTGACCTGCTTGCTGCGTCATCTATTTGCTGGATCAATAGACGCCAAACAGCAAGCACTAGATTGTGGAGCACAGGATGCACTGTCCGAACTTTTAGGCCTCTCTCGAGAATTAGGTGATGCACTATTACTAGAATTGCTCTGTTGTGTTCGAAATATGGTGGCCAGCTGTGTTGCTGCTAAACGTGCTGTAGTAGAGCCACCAAGGAAGAAGCCTGGTGGTTTATGCTGTGTTGATGGTGTAGTGAAGATCATGAAGACACTGCAATCAAATGCTACACATGATGAGATCTTCTTGGCTTGTATTGAGGTGCTCAAGCTGCTCGCCTTAAGTACAACAGAGTCTACAGAGTCAAGAACTGCCATAATCAAGGTGAAAAATCTTTTTTGCATATCGAAAACCCGATACTGATTCGCGTCTTTCAACCAGTCTAATATTTTGAACGATATTTACAACCTCTTGACTCGATTCACACGAAGTAAAGAAATGCTTCGTGTGGACGGCATCCTCCAGTTTCTATACTCAATGTCTTTAAGCCATGACGGACAAATCCATACGATGAGGGTGGCCGGTCTCTTCCCTCTACTGGTGGATCTTCTCTCCAGTAAATCGCCACAAGTGAAGAGGACGAATCTGTTGCTTCTGAAAAATCTTTTATCCACACGTGAAAACAAGGCACATGCTCTGGCTGATGGTATGCTCGAAATTCTGATTGCAGTGTGATTGAAATGTTAACCAACAGAATCCGGTAGAAAACTTTATGTCGAATATGCTCAAGTTTGGTTTGCAAAGCAAGTCGTTGACCTTGTTATCGCCAGCAACATCGTGCATATGGGTGTTTTTGTATGACAGTGAAAAGGTATGGAGATTTGCTTCGATGTATAAATTTGGGGCGTGATCTAATTACAAGCTTTGTGTAGGCCAAGGTGGCTTTGAAAAAATCGACTTTGAAGGAAGATTTGGTGGCCTTGGAAAGGAGACTAGTATATGGTAGGTTGTCTCTGTCGACATCTCCAGCAGACGTGGGGACAAACAAGTACTAACCAAGGACAATCTTTTCAGACTATGCTTGGTTTTTGCAAGTGGATGATCCAAAAGATCCTCGACAGTGGGATGGTGACTTTGATCGAGAAGACGCAGAGAATCTCGTACAGACGCTCCAAAATATAGCGGCGATTGCACGACTTCTCTCCATATAGATTTGTAAATATGTGACAAATGACTATTATATCTTATGTTTTTAGTTGAGCTTGAAGGGTTTCGATCTAGCGGGTAGCAGTGTTAGCCACAATCATCTCATATCAATACCCAAAAATGCACAAACCTCTCGTAGGTTGCGTTGATGTCGAAGTTGTATTGTTGCAAGTAATGGAGCACATAACTTGTCGATGAGATTTGTGAGCATTTGTATGTACAGATTGCTGTTGTAACTGGTCGACATCTTGTCTGTCAAGGATGCCGAAGCTGTGCGAAAAGATGTTTCTTCCTCATTGAAGAAGAGCTCTGGTAAAACACAAGCAAGCTTCGTGATGACATCGTGTTCTAATGGCCTTCCAGACGATGGTGTCACATATAGTGGTACTTCAATACGAATGTTGGCACTGTCGGTTGACCTTGACTGAAAGCAGTTGATTTGAATCCTTTGAGCAGCCTAAATCAATAAGTGTCAGCTGGTTGGCTCAATATATATATAGTTATAACCGAGTTCTTACTTCTATATCTCCCGTCTTTCCCGAAAAGCACGAAACGATAATTCCAAACCATCGGTCGTCCATTGCTTGGTGATTGAGCTGTGTTCTCAGATCCACATGGGATGGGAGGACCCTGGTAATAAAAGCAAACGTATTTAAAGCCTTTCGAGCTGCTTGATTTGTGTGAAAACCGCTCACGTTATGTGTGGATGCGAATGGCACCAACCAATAACAGACAATCCAGCACGATCTGCTTCCGACATGGCTCTAAATATAGTGCAATCCATAGAACAAGTCAGCTCGTTGGGAGATACGCAAAACAGTAGCAGACTGATGAAAAACGCACCTTGTCATATCAGCATCAGAGATTTCCACACGGTCACGCTTCTTTTCACGTCTTTCACTTGGAAAGAGGAGATTCTTGACATTTGCTACAGTTCCAGGAGTGTCTTCTTCAAATGTACCGAGTAGTAGAGCAACGCACTCTTCACGTTCTATCGTCAGAGCAAACCCCACATCAAAATTCGTTTGCTGCGTTGATTGACAAGCCTAGTTGATGATAGTACTTACCAGTGCATAGAGCGAACGTTGTAAACAGCAGGTACACTTCAGCTGATAGCTTGACACTAGTTAGTGGCATGGTATTTGAGTTGATTGTAGTTGACTGACTTGCTTGGAAGCACAAGTGCGAAGAATAAGACGTTGCTGGCCAATAAACAAGTGGTGCTAGGATGCAAACAGACGATGTTTCGATCTCTAACACGTAAGCTGCGCGTCACAACGCGTTCATGTGCCAATTTCGTGGATTTGCAAGTTTCGACGATCGATGGTAGGAAGCGAGGTCGATTTGTATATGCATCTGGCTAAAGATCTAGCAAGTATCTTATCGTAAGCAGACTCACAAATCCAACAAAAATCGCTACTCTATCTAAGTTGCAATTGAGCTTAGAGTTTCAATCTATTCTATCTCTTTCCTTTGATGCGACGTGTAGGATTCAATAACGTGTAGAGTTAATAACGTATAGCGCAAGGAATAAGGAATCAATATAGGAATATTCTTCTCCTACGTGTCACTGAATTTATGCCAAGTCACTGTACTGTCCAGGTGCTCCAACAAAAGCTTATTTATCAACAGGCACAAAGCAACGTGAGGGAATAGTCAACAATGGCAGCCTTGGCAACCAAGCAAGTAGTGTCGCATCTTGCCTCTCCGCAAAAGCTATCAGCTAGTACTGCTTCACCACCTCCGAAACTTGCAAACCTCGTCTGCGTCTTAAGTGGTTGCAACTCTCGTTACGGAATTGGTAGTTGCTATTTCACCATCAAACCTTGATTTATTTCATACGAATTTCAACAATTCTCGCGTCACATCTATATAGGATGGGCTACAGCTCTAGAGTTCGCCAAACATCAACCAAAGGCTCTGTTTGTAACAGACATTCATTCCGACAAGTTGGACGATCTTGTCAATGCTATTAAGGAGATCTCATCAGTCACTACAGCTCATGCAATGAAAATGGATCAATCTTTGGAAGCAGATGTGGCTGGTGTTGTCGATGAAGCCTTGAAACTTTATGGACGACTAGACGTATTTTTCATCAATGGTGGTATTTTGGGCGCAAATGAACCATTGCTAGGTGGTGAATCTGCCACAAATTTCATGGACGTTATGAGTTGAGTGTCTCAGATTACGTGAAATTCTGGTCCAGGTTGTGGGTCAGTTTCCAAACACCTTATTTGTCACACGTTTTGTAGAGGTCAATGCATTGGGGCCGTTCGTGGGTTGCAAGCATGGTGCTCGTGGTATGCTGGTAACTTCAAAGGATAAGCCAGTACCCAAAGGAAGCATTATCGTTACGTCTTCCATCGCTGGACTGAATGGAGGAACCGCATCAATTGCGTATGGAGCCTCGAAAGCTGCGTACGTTTCAAATTTACTGTTTCAAGGTCGCATACTCATCAATACTCTATTATTGTAGTTCCATCAACCTTGTGAAACACGTAGCAATCGAATTGAAGGGGAATAACATTCGTGTGAATGCAATCTTACCCGGCATGACGGAAACCGGAATGAGCAAGCCCGCTTTCGATGGTCTGCGAGCTAGTGGAAGACTTGGAATACTCGGCGACTTGAATCCTTTGCTTCGCCATGCCATGCCCCAAGAGGTACGAAAACGGTTCAAAGGCTCTCCCCGGAGGTGAATCCAACATAAAATATTTTAGATGGCTACCGTCGTGGTGTTTTTAGCATCAGAGGACGCATCGTACATAAACGGAACCTCGATTACTGTTGATGGAGGTTGGACAGCGTCACACCCGTTTCTCGCAATACGTCCTCCCAATGCATCAGTATAGAAGCGTAAGAGAAGATTAAGTATGTGTAATATGAGCTTTATACATTCAATTTGGAGTCAACTGGACAAACACCATCATGCTAGCGTTACACCTTGTTTGCCACAAACTCCATCCGATTTCCCCATGGATCATGTCCATGGAATCTAATCACTGTACGCCCAGTATCAGGCACCACCTCAAAATCAGTAATATTGGTAACAAACCCATCATTCTTCCTCCTGTTTCCAAAGTATTGCAGCATTTTACTCCTCAGACTTCTCAAATCAGCTTCACTCTTGATTAAGAGTGCAGGATGAGCTTTTAGAGCTGGTTTGAAGTTATCAATCATTCCTAGATGTAGTTGTAAAGCACCACACTGGAACCAGAGTCCCGGATTTTGCATCGCAGGCGGTCTAGTTAGTTCAGGAAGTCCTAATAGTTTGCCAAAGAATTCACGGGCTTCGGATTCTGTTCTCATGGGAGCTGCGAGTTGGTAGTGATCGAGTCTAGTAAAATGTAAGGGTGAGTAACGTGTTTGCGATGTCATCGAGAAATTGCCAAAGATCAAGTTTGTAAGAAGCACTCAAGGCCAGCGATCCTCGTTTTATCACAGAAATCAAGAAAATCAGGCCTTGAAGTTCCTCACATTCCCTTCTGATTCCCATACAACCTCTGAAATAGAAGTTCAAAGAATTTCGTTTTTTGCGTACCCAACAATCCCAGACATTTAGAGCAAATTAGCGAGTGGAATTATAACTGAGAGCAAAGCTTCTCTGATGGCAAATTGATAAAGCTTTCGAGTTTCAACTTTCAAAGTTAGCAGACGACGTTCAGAGAGGAACTAGTACACGTTGAAACACACATGATAGACGTGTCAATTACAATGAAGATTGATTTCTGCGTGTAATGAATTAGCATCCAGTCGATTTCACTTCAAGAAACATCATCCTTGTTAAACCTCGCTTCTGTGTTTTGCAAAAAAAAATCTGCCATCAGAAGGAGAGACAAGGACGACAAGGATGAATACTTTATGGGAGAGACTATCCGAGTTCCGGCAACGGATGAGGCTGCCATGTCCTGGAACTTATGAGAACCTGCATAGGGACATTAAAGGTATGCTTTCAATCACATTTTGTAAAAAAAAGCACACATCATTTTGGTCTTTTTGAGAAATGTCGTGTTTGTTTCATTGGAGAGAAGATGTACATCTATTGCCGTTCATCACCGCATCCTTGTTTGCTGGTTCGCAGCTTAGCACTCACTCACTCGTTCTATTAGGTGTCATGCCAACATTGCATGTCATTGATGGAGCTAAAGTCGATTTGACTTCCATGCTCTCGCCTGCATTCCAAGTCACCCATTCATTTGCTTGGGCTAGTCAGCAATACCCTCCAACTTATCACTTTGGTGCTGGGTATATCGGAAAGCAGGTAATGTCGTCGCAAAAAAAAATGCAGGAAGAATACGAGGATCTTTGGGGCGTCTCCGTCTCAAAGCTTTTCATTTACTTCAATAACATTACATCCTCCATTCACAGGCCTTCATGCACGGACAAGTAGATAGCGATGGAAACTTGCAAGCACGAGCAAACTATTCGTGGTTGCAACCATCTGAAGCACCAGCACCACCACCAGTGCAAGCTCCAAAGCCAGGTGAACCTCAACAAACACAACCACCGCCACCACCAGCACCACCATCGAAAGCACCAACATCAACAACAAAGCTACAGATGCAATTCAGCAGCATGCAAAACATGTTACAAATAGAACACGAACATGTCGGATCTGACTGGTCTCTAAACGTAAAGGCCATAAATCCAAACCCTATTGATGTACCCCCATCATATCTACTCGCTACACCTCCAGTGGGCAGAAAAACACACCCATCATCCATCACGGGTATATACGCTGCCTCATATCTCCAATCAATCACATCATCTCTAGCAGTCGGCGGTGAATTCTTGTACCAGAGACCTAATCCAGATGTAGAAGAACCCGCGTTAACTCTGGCCATCAGATACGCCCCGTTACCAACATCAGCAGTCCCACCACCGCCCGTTCTACCCGCTGGTTTCCCATCTCCATACCAGCCAGTAAACCCAAACGATCCAACAGAAGTACTGACTGCTACATATCAGCCATCTAATGGTTTATTGCATACCTCATACTATAAAAAAATTAATCAGAGATTGGAGGTCGCTGCTGAATTGCAATTGCTTATTACTATGGGTAGTGCTAGAAGTGAAGGTGTCAGACAGGGTATTGCGTCGGTTGGGTTTAAAATGGATACCGTCTTTGCTACAGTCCGTGGTATGGTAGATACACAGGGTAAAGTTAGTACAGTTATCGAGGAACGACTTGCTCAAGGGTTGAGTTTCCAAGTAAGTGCTCAATGTTTGAGTATGGAGATCAGTCAGAGCCGCAGTCTGTTGTTTCGTTGCAGTAGTGACGATGCCAGTCTGAGTTGACCAATTTGCCAGGACTGTAATGGTTTTATTGTGCCACCTCTCCTTTATTGACATCATTTCCCATAATATAGCTCTCTGGTGAAATGGACTATTCTAAAGGTCAAGGAGGTGCTGGTCGTGTTGGAATTGGCTTCACTTTGGAAGCCTAGACAGACATTCGAAAGACTCCTTGGGTTTGGTTGGGTTGTATTTTTCCTTGATCCTCTTGAGAAAAATGAGGATGATAAAGATAAACTGTAGTGTAGTTGACTCTCATTTAGAATGAAAACGTAAACATCCCAAAACATGGAGATGGGGTATTTTCTTTCTTGTCTGATACAGCCTGTTCCAAAAACCAAACACGTCCTTACACATGTCCAAATCGCTTTGAAATTGCTCTATATATTTTTTGGGGTTTACTTATGGTTTTCTATAGTTGACAAGGAAAAAAGATATTGGAAAAAATAAGTTGAATGACCAACCGCCCTCCACCACATTTTAAAAAGAATGCCGAAGCTCTCAACTTCAAAAAAACTACATTATGGATATACGAGTGCCTGTATGCGAATGCCTCCTTTCATCGTCGAGCATGAGGCCCGACTTTTGCATACACGCTAGGCAGCTTCCGTGTACAATCATACTGTTCACGGAGCTTTGATAACAATTCATGTTGAAACATGTCCTGAAATTCTGGTTCTGTTTGGAAACAGTCGGCGTATAGTGCTTGGTATCCATGGTTTTCACGCACAAAGTGCTCAATCTACCATGACAGATTCCAGATGAGTGTGAGGTGATTTTTGGTCAGAAAAAACATGGGAGGAGCTGAAAGGATTGTACCGCGAGGATAAACTGCAAAACAACATACATACTTTTCTCATAACATGAACATGTAACTCTTCACCAGGCTTCCTCTCATCAGCAGATACATCCACACCCTCATCAACAGTCTCATCATCATCTCCAGGCTCACTCGTAGCTTCCAACCTCTCCAAAATCTTTTTTCTACCATACATTTTCTCAACAATAGTCCTCCATGCTGGTGCTAATGGAATACCATACGCTCCAATATCAACATATAATTGATCACTTGGCGTAGGAGTCACGAATCCTGACGAGATATCACATGTGACCTTCATTAATTGGTGCTGTGGGATATATTCTGGGATTTGATGTAGTATTTCGCGTTGCGATAATGTGGCTTTGGTCGTTGATGATGCTGCTGGTGGGACTTTGGAAGTCCATTTAGATGATGGTGGGCTAAGGAGTCTCATTGGACATAGCCACAGTGGGTAGATTTGGAATTCTCGATGGAAGGTTAGGAGAGATTCCGTCAATGTTGACATTGGGACTAGCATGTCCTGTAAGAGTGGAGAAGTATGAAAGGTTACAACGATGGCGAACGAGAAAAAAAAAGTCAAAGTCTGTCGGAGATGATGTGGCGACGTACTTGCACAATATGTCCCTTGGCATATATCTCTCGTAGGTCTTCAGTGGTGGTGAGTTTAAGTAAACTAATGTGTGGTGGTACAGCCCATCCGAATATCCATCTAAACCACCATTGATTGCCCCATGGAATTAAATCCTAAGTGGGAGAGTATCTGTGAGATGCGAGGCCAAAAACCCATGCTTGCACAATCGTCAAGACATGGATGTGTCGATTCACAGATATGCTATCCGGTCCCGCGTCATGAACGCCCAATGTACTTTTAAACAACATACCTGTAACTCCCAAAATATGGACCGAGTATGACGATGATAATACTCTCTCAGAGGAATCAACTCCTGATAAGCTACCAGACTCTTCAAATTGCTTCTGGGCACCACTATCCGTCCACTATGATACAGGTTTGCCAAATCCAATATCACATCTAGATTATCAGACGGCATGGGAGATGCTGCTGCTAGTTTAGGACTCAGGTACGATTGCACATGAGTAAAAAACCAGGGCTTGTACCATAATCCGATATCATTGACTTGATTAGATAGGTTAACGAGCCCTGTTGCTTCATACTGTTTGGCATCGGCTTTAGTAGCCATTTTACCAACCATAACTACATGCTTGTTTTTGGAAAACGAGAGTGCTTCTACAAAGTCGAATGCTGTACAACGAGATGCATGTTCGAAGGTTTTGGCTAGCTCTGATAGAGTGTTGCACGGAAGATATGTAATCATGGCGTATGGCTTGTACGGTACAATCTAAGAGAATAATTGCAATGAGTCGGCGGTTCTCAACGCCGACCAAAAAATCATGCAGCAGTGAAGGAAAATGCCAACCTTGATCTCAGCAGCTACCAGGAACCCAAGAGATCCATGACTCCATGGAATAGCAGCAAACAACTCTGGGTTTTCAGTAGGTGACGCACGAACCAGCTCTCCATTAGCCAAGACGATTTCATAAGCCGTGCAAGTATGCTGGAACAATCCATATTTGTGCGATGACGTCTTGAAAAGAAACACATGTCAGCCCCGGGACGCACAAAAAAATACTCTTGCAATGCCCAGAGATTTGGATTTACCTCAACACCGAATCCCATAATCAAACCACCGACAGTCAAATCATCCAATTCAGCAACTACAGCCAACACCCATCCTTTAGGATTGAGTTCTCGAGTGATTTGGCCCATGGAGCAGTTCGGCTCGACTCGAACGACTTGATTTGCGGCATCGATGCTCAAGATGTTGTCTAGAGCACTGACGTCGATCTGTGTCATTGTCTTTTTGTACAGGCCTTCTTTTAGAGACATTGCCAACCATGTTGGTCTGGCAGTACACATTTTGGCTCCTTCTGGAGATGTTCTGACTTGCTGTTGCACCCTATTTATATGTTATGGGAAGGTCAATATGATTGGGACTGTTGTGATTCAAGATCAGATCAAGAAGGTACCGAGATCTTACCATCGGACACGTTCGTCGTGAGATTCACGTGTTGACTTTAGATGGTACTTGTAGAAGCGTCTAGTAGCCCAGTATGAATCGTATACAATCGACACTGGTATCAAGATGATACAAATGCTAAAGCAGAATGGGAGCAGATAATTTAGTCATACTGGTGGATACTCATGTCCTGGCATGATCAAACTAAGATTCAGGAACGGAAGGAAGATGGGGAGTCCTAGCTTACAAGATGTCTCGATGCTTTGTCACAAAGTCAGCTATAGCATTTTGCAGCGGCGATGGGATTGTCTTCCAAATGTTTGATGTGATTGTGATGATGAGAGATAAAGCTCTAGATATCAGGCCAGGGCTCTTGGTTGATATAGAGGATGCATGAGAAGAGTTATGAATGTGCTTAATGCTTCCGTTCATTCCATTTGTAGATGCCATGGAGCATCCAAATATTCAAAGACCGACAAAATTCAACGAATGGCCTGTTTTTAGGAGAAACAGATATGTTAGTTTAATACAATGAAGGAGAACCATGCCATATTAGCAATGAACGTCACCTTAAGCTTCGTTAAGAACAAGACGCACAGCCTGTCAGTAAAAGTCAAATTTGGACCACACTGTCTTTAGTGAATGAAAGATGGTGCAACTCAGACTGGAGTAGTCACTGCTTTCTAAATTCGTATATCACACCGTGACGAGCCTTGACTGCTCGTGTTTTGATACAGTTCACAGATTCAGAAACACACAACAGTTTTGCCAAAACGACGAGGAACGTTCGTGATTCTAGTTGGAACCGACCCTATAGATGCACATGGGCCAGCACATGGGCTTATCTTAAACATGTAATTATACATGCGATGACCGTGTTCAAACACGTACAGTGTTGTAAACGTTGTCGTGGAAGGAGTGGTTTGGTTTCGATTTGAAAATTCTTCAAAGCAAGCCACGAGAACAACAGAGCGACTATTGCGAAATAGCTCAATCCCAACTTAGTCTAACTGTAGCTCTTCTTGGAGTACCTGATCTAGCTACTTCTCCTTCTCTGAGATCCTCTCTCGACTCGGTAACGTCTCGGTCACATAGTCAAGCGAAGATGTAAAACTGACCTTGCTTTGCAACAAGTTCGTGAACTCGCCGTTCTGCCGCTCCAAACTCCTCTTACTATCAATACATTCCATATTCAGCTTGGATTCGCATCGAAATGACTCAGGTATGTTTGTATTTCGTAGCCTAGCGTTCTGAAAACCTAAAAACTTGGTCGTACCATTTGGCTCACGCACCAACCTTTCCAGAGACCACATACTTTGACTCACAAGAACTCTCAAACCGATTGGACATTCGTAAATCTCTCATATTGTGAGCCATCCAGCGATGATGCATCGTTGGCTGCAACTTTTGACTTTCTGCCAGAGGTTGGTTTCGCTACACACTAGACCAAATTGACGACATATTTCTCAACGTTCGGTGCATTTTGCTATTTGTAGGAGCTGGAACCCTATGGATTCGAGGAGGTTAATGCAACCAATCCAATGCCTGGTGTACTGGCATCGCTGCAAGTAAGGTGGATCTTGTTTTGTGGAAGAACACCGCAACGATGCTTTTCTCATCGTTCAAATTTTTGTAACTAGTTCTCTTCTATAAACTCTTCTTTGAAGAGCATTCTGGAAGTCATGGACCAGAGTGGCTACTCACTTGTGTCAGTGGATGGCTTCTCAGATCTCGAGGGACAGATGCCAGCCGCGTCTGATTCTATAAAGGCTGAGCACATCTCAATGCAGAATGCTTTAGTCAATACAACTGCTGTATTTAGCTCTCCTCCTGCGGTATGCTTCATACCGCTGTTCGGCCAACTCAAACTAGTATTTATAACACCTGTCCAATAGTACAACCAACCAAACCAAGCCATGGATACTTTGAATCATATTGCCATTGCGTCAAATACTACTACTGCCATCGTAGGCCACACTGGTACTTCTAGACGACCACGTCAGCAAGCCAACCAACCCGCACCGTCCAACAGACCTGCACGGTGTACCATTTGTAAAACCAAGATAGCTCGAGCTCGGGACATGCCTCGTCATATGAAAACACATGGTGGGGAGGAAGCAAAGGAGTACCACTGCCCTTACCCTTACTGTGACGGTAAAAGTACCAGGAAGGACAACCTCGATACCCACATCAGAAGAAAGCACCATCAAGTGTAACGCAAACCAAAAGGTTGCAAGGCAGTCAAAAAAGGCAAATTGTGTGGTGGGCGTGTGTGCAAATATCAATACATATCCTTCTTAAAACTTACAAAAGTGTAGCGAGTGTGAATAAACCCCCTAAATCATATTTTGCAAAATACAAGGACATCTTTAGAAACCAAACTCAAAGATCGTGCGAATGATTTCAAATGTGTCGAGTCAAACAAAAACAGTTGTGCCAAGGGAACAAGAAATAAGCGGAGAAGGATGTCATATTGAACCATCACCAGAGCTAGGGATCAGATATGCTTTCTCCAGACACTGCTCTGGTATTTAATCCATGCTTTGTCCAACAGATGCTAGCTGACCGGCTGCGGAAGCACGAGACTGAGAATCCAAATTAAGCAGTCAGAGAGTGCTTCTCGGCGAAGAATTCCAGATCCAGAATTCACTCCAGATCCAGCCCTGATAATCCGGGACTGAAAATGGAGTTTGATGGTGCTCAAACATCTGGGAAGACGGAGACGCGACGGCAAGGCTTTTGAAACAGAATGAGGCATAGAGACTGAAATTGCAATATAAATCTAATTGTATAGGCAACGGCGCGTCTCAAACGAGTACACTCTTGTGAAGTTTGTTTTGGAGAGAGTGGTACATTCTCGTATATCTCGCCTACTTCATTTCGCCTACTTGAACTTTCCTGCTGAACAAAAAACCACACGCTGCTTGAAACCTTCAACAGACCACCTGAATCGTTGTTGTATCGTAGTCTCAGGCCTTCTCCGATTATCCACATCCTTCTCTCTTCATCACTGCGCCGATTCACTGAGCAAAGTGATCAGTGTTTGGAGCTTATCGGCCGTTGCAAACACCAGGCATTATTTGAACGGAGCACCCATTCTCAACATCAGCATCCCTATTGATAAATTCTTTGTAGCCTCTCTCTGAATCGAAATGACTATGGTATGTGTGTGATGTTGATAATTATCGAACGTGAAGGCGTACATTTTAGCAATCCCATTCATCACCAGCTTCCTACAATGAACTTGGACGACTGGGAAGAAATTTTCACGACTAAAGCTGCTGGAGTTATTGGAGCTGTTCCCTCTTCCCAGGTTTCCGGTCCCCCTACAGACCAAAACGTAGGTTGGCTCACCACCTTGACGGAAAAGGACAAGGTCCCACCTTAACCAACAATTAAAGTTTTTACAGCAACTGAACTGCATCGATTCCATGGTGGGCGACGAAGGAAACTCCCTTTACGACGCATGGGTAGGTGGAATTCTCTGAATTGTTTGAAGACCATATCACGTGAAGGTTGCCAATACTTTGCCAATCGTGTGACTATTTGATAGATCCTGGGCGGGATCTCCGGCCTGTCTGACCGTATCGAACTTCTTACTGGACCTCTTGGGTCCTACTCCAGTGGTGTTGCGAATCTGTATGCTTCGCCTACTCACAACACTGAGACTCTGCCATTGATTATGCCGAGCTTGGCAGTATATCCAGTCGGAACCGTCAATCCCGCGATAGTTTGTCCTATCGTGAGTTGCCAAATCTTCTCCAACAATTAGCACGATGTATCTGACACCTACCTTTATTAGCCCAAGGCTGAACCACAGCAGGTCATCGTTCATGTTGGTACTAAGATTGTTACAGACGATGCTGGATTTAATGCTACCACTACCAATAATAATACTGCTGCCACCGAGAGCCACGGTCGTATTCCCACTCGTAGTCGTCTACAACGTAAAGTAAAGACGCTCAGTCGCCCAACTCCTAAAGCAGTTACTAGGGCCGACCTCAAAAAGACGCCCCGTCGTCAATCCCGCAAAATCGCCACAAAGGGCAGTAAAGCCATCACCACCGCCAAGAAGAATAAAAAGATGCCAACTCCTAAAACAGGTAGACGACCACGTCAGCAAGCCAACCAAACCGCACCGTCCAACAGACCTGCACGGTGTACCATTTGTAATATTAAAATAGCTCGAGCACGGGACATGCGTCGTCATATGAAAACACATGGTGGGGAGGAAGCAAAGGAGTACCACTGCCCTTACAATTACTGTGATGCTAAAAGTACCAGGAAGGACAACCTCAAGACCCACATCAGAAGAAAGCACCATCAAGTGTAACGCAAACCAAAAGGTTGCAAGGCAGTCAAAAAAGGCAAATTGTGTGGTGGGCGTGTGTGCAAAAATCAATACATATCCTTCTTAAAACTTACAAAAGTGTAGCGTAGTGTGAATAAACTCCCTAAATCATATTTTGCAAAATACAAGGACATCCTTAGAAACCAAACTCAAAGATCGTGCCAATGATTTCAAATGTGTCGAGTCAAACAAAAACAGTTGTGCCAGGGGAACAAGAAATAAGCGATGAAGGTTGTCATATTGAACCATCAGAGCTACAGATCAGATATGCTTTTTCCAGACACTGCTCTGGTATTTACACGTCTGAATCCATGCTCTGTCCAACAGATGCTAGGTGACCGGCTGTGGAAGCACGAGACTGAGAATCCAAATTAAGCAGTCAGAGAGTGCTTCTCGTCGAAAAATTTACTCCAGATTTAGCCCTGATGATCCGGGACCGAAACTGGAGTTTGATGGTGCTCGAGCATCTGGGAAGACGGAGACGCAACGGCAAGACTTTTGAAACAGAATGAGGCATAGAGACTGGAATTGCAATATAAAGCGAATTGTATAGGCAACGGCGCGTCTCAAACGCGTTAACTCTTGTGAAGTTTGTTTTGGAGAGAGTGGTAAATTCTCGTATATCTCGCCTACTTCATTTCGCCTACTTGAACTTTCCTGCTGAACAAAAAACCACTCGCCGCTTGAACCACTGCTTGAAACCTTCAACAGACCACCTGCATCGTTGTTGTATCGAAGTCTCAGGCCTTCTCTCATTATCCACATCCTTCTCTCTTCATCACTGCGCTGATTCACTGAGCAAATCGATCAGTGTTTGGAGCTTATCGGCCGTTGCAAACCATCAGGCTTTATTTGAACGGAGCACCCATCCTCAACATCAGCATCCCTATTGATTCAGTCTTTGCAGCCTCTCTCTGAATCCAAATGACTATGGTATGTGTGTGATGTTGATAATTATCGAAAATGAAGGCGTACATTTTAGCAATCCCATTCATCACAAACGGGTTCAGTTTCCTACAATGAACTTGGACGACTGGGAAGAAATTTTCACGACTAAAGCTGCTGGAGTTATTGGAGCTGTTCCCTCCTCCCAGGTTTC